ATCTGTAGGTGATGAGTTTGTTATGGAAGGTTTGGGAATCACTTCCTTTTAGGTGGTTGTAGAATTTAACGGCTCTTTTCTGGATTTTGATAATTAGCGGGTATCGGCTTAATTCTGCTCTAAATGCATTATTTGTTGTTTTACGTTGTACACAGAGGATATTTTTGCAGAATTCTGCATGCAGAGTCTCAATTTGGTGTTTGTCCCATTTTGTGAATTCTTGGTTGGTGAGCGGACCCCAGACCTCACAACCATAAAGGCCAATGGGTTCTATAACTGATTCAAGTATTTTTAGCCAGATCCTAATTGGTATGTCGAGTTTTATGTTCCTTTTGATGGTATAGAAGGTCCTTCTTGCCTTGTCTCTCAGATCGTTCACAGCTTTGTGGAAGTTACCTGTGGTGCTGATGTTTAGGCCGAGTTATGGATAGTTTTTTTGTGTGCTCTAGGGCAACCGTGTCTAGATGGAACACCATTATTTTTGTCTTCCTGAGATTTAATGTCAGGGCCCAGGTCTGACAGAATCTGTGCAGAAGATCTAGGCCCTCCTTGGTTGGTGACAGAAGCACCAGATCATCAGCAAACAGTAAATATTTGACTTCAGATTCTAGTAGGGTGAGGCTGGGTGCTGCAGACTGTTCTAGTGCCCTTGCCAATTCGTATATATATATATATATATGTGTTGAAGAGGGTGGGGCTTAAGCTGCATCCCTGTCTCACCCCCGGCCCTGTGGAAAGAAATGTGTGTGTTTTTTGCCAATTTTAACCGCACACTTGTTGTTTGTGTACATGGATTTTATCATGTTGTATGTTTTCCCTCAACACCACTTTCCATCAGTTTGTATAGCAGACCCTCAAATCAACATAGAAGACTTTGCCTTTGTTTTGGTTTGTTTGTCAATTAGGGTGTGCAGGATGAATACGTGGTCTGTCGTACGGTAATTTGGTTAAAAGCCAATTTGACATTTGCTCAGTACGTTGTTTTCGCAGAGGAAATGTACGAGTCTGCTTTTAATGATAATGCAGAGGATTTTCCCAAGGTTGCTGTTGACGCATATCCCACGGTAGTCAAATTTGTCTCCACTTTTGTGGATTGGGGTGATCAGTCATTTGTTCCAAATATTGGGGAACATGCCAGAGCTGAGGATGATGTTAAAGAGTTTAAGTATAGCCAATTGGAATTTGTGGTCTGTATATTTTATCATTTAATTTAGGATACCGTCAACCCCACAGGCCTTTTTGGGTTGGAGGGTTTGTATTTTGTCCTGTAGTTCTTTCAATGTAATTGGTTTTGGTAGTCTTTAATAGTTGATGCTAAGAATTTTATTTGATCATGTATATGTTTTTTGTTATTGGGCCAAAAAGATTGGAGAAGTGGTTTATCCATACATCTCCATACATAGTACATTATCCATACATAGTCCCCTGTAGCTCAGTTGGTAGAGAATGGCGCTTGCAACGCCAGGGTTGTGGATTCGTTTCCCACGGGGGGCCAGTATGAAAATGTATGCACTCACTAACTGTATGTCACTCTGGATAAGAGCGTCTGCTAAAATTAAAAATTTAAAATCTCAATTTTGGATAAATAACTCTTCATGTTGTTGTTTGTTTAGAGTTTTCCAATTTTCCCAGAAGTGGTTAGATTCTATGGATTCTTCAATTACGTTGAGCTGATTTCTGACATGCTGTTCCTTCTTTTTCCATAGTGTATTTCTGTATTGTTTTAGTGATTCGCCATAGTGAAGGCATAGGCTCAGGTTTTCTGGGTCTCTATGTTTTTGGTTGGATAGGTTTCTCAATTTCTTTCTTAGGTTTTTGCATTCTTCATCAAACCATTTGTCATTGTTGTTCATTTACTTAGGTTGTCTGCTTGAAAAACAAAAATTGATAGGGCAGCTGAGAGGTCAAATATACTGTTTAGGTTTTCTACTGCCAAGTTTACACCTTCACTATTACAGTGAAACATTTTGTCCAGGAAATTGTTTAGAAGGGATTGAATTTGTTGTTGCCTAATAGTTTTTTGGTAGATTTCCACACTACTTTCCTTCCATCTATAGCATTTCTTAATATTATTCAGTTCCTTTGGCTATGATGCTTCATGATTGAGCATAGCTCTGTTCAAGTAGAGTGTGATTTTGCTGTGATCTGATAGGGGTGTCAGTGGACTGACTGTGAATGTTCTGAGAGACTCTGGGTTTAGGTCAGTGATAAAGTAGTCTACAGTACTACTGCCAAGACATACGCTATATGTGTACCTACCGTAGGATTCCCCTCGAAGCCTACCAATTGACTATGTACATACCCAGCATACGACAGAGTTGCTTATGTTGTCGTAGTTGTGTCTAGGGGGGCATATGGGGGAGGGAATGCTGTCACCTCCAGGTAGGTGTTTGTCTTCCTGTGTGGTGAGGGTTTCAGGTTCTTGTCCAATTCTGGCATTTAGGTCGCCACAGATTAGTACATGTCCCTGGGCCTGGAAATGGTTGATCTCCCCCTCTAGGATGGATAAGGTGTTATCATTAAAGTATGGGGATTCTATTGGGGGGATATAGGTAGCACACATGAGGACATTTTTCTCTGTTGAGATAATTTCCTTATACATTTTTTGCCAGATGTAAAATGTTCCTGTTTTGACTAATTTAATTGAGTGGGTTAGGTCTGCTCTATACCAAATTAGCATACCCCCTGAGTCTCTTCTCTGTTTCACACCTGGTAGTTTGGTGGATGGGACTACCAGCTCTCTGTAACCTAGAGGGTAACCAGTGAGTCCGTCTCATGTTCTTGTAGGATGACAATTTACATTTACATCATTTAGCAGACACTCTTATCCAGAGTATTTCCAATGTATTTGATGAAGTCTGGGTTCCTGCTCTTTAGGCCAAAGGCAGATGACCTCTGACCTTGTATATTCCAGGATGAAATAGTAAACGCTTTGTGTTCCATAGTGTCTAGTGTTGTTTTCGTGTGGTTTAGGCCCGGACCATCACAGTAAGTTTGAGCGGAGTATGTTGAGCATCTGATACATACCTCTTAGGTCACAGGATGGTGCTTGGGCGAGTGTAATAGTGAGAGTTGGGCCTGCTGCTCTGCTCACGGTCTGGGCATATGTCCTGCTGTCATGTTGAGGTCTTTGCCGCAGGGGCGGGGGGCATGGGGTGGGCAGAAGGGGCGTAGGTCTGATATGGGGCAGCCTATATAGGGTGTGGCCAGGGTTTGCTTGGGTTGGTCTTAGTTGGTTGGGGTATGGCTGGTGATGCTGTGTTCTGGGTGTTGGTCCTCTTGGCGTGGGTTCTCTCTGTACAGGTCCTTCAGGAGGGGTCTAGCAGGTCTGGGAGGGTGTCTCGCTGGTCTAGGTGGGGTGTCCGTTGCTCTGTTGCTCCTATGTGAGGTGCTGGGGCTACGGTTGATAGTGACGTCCTTCAGGGTCCTGGCAAAAGTTGGGATTGCTGCCTTGTAGAGGTGGACCTGGTCGTAAAGGCTGTTCAAGTCCAGGGTGGAGTTGTTGGCCAGGTAGACCTTAGGTTTTGAGGCACAGTCTCACAATATGCTTGCATTCTCTCTCTCTCTCTCTCTCTCTCATTCAATTCAATAGACTTTATTGACATGGCAAGTTAAATTACTTACATTGTCAAAGTATACATATAACAAAAATGGTGGGACCAACAGCAATAATCTCTCTCTGTCTCTGTCTGTATGTGTGTCTGTCTGTCTCTCTCTGTCTCTCTCTCTGTGTCTCTGTCGCTCTCTCCCTCTCTCTCTCTCTCTGTCTCTCTGTCTCTCTCTGTCTCTCTCTGTCTCTCTGTCTCTCTCTGTCTCTCTCTTGCTCAGTAGTATAGTGCAGTGAGTAATCTACTTTGATATTAAAGGCTGGAGGTATTTATTTTGGTCTGTTTGGCAAATGGGTCATACATTTAAACGCAGGACAGTAGAGAGAGAACGAGAGGGAAGGGGGAGGTGGGGGCAGAGACAGGGAGGGGGAGGTAGAGACAGAGAGGGAGGGGGAGGTAGAGACAGAGAAGGGAGGGAGGAGGTAGGGTAGAGTACAGAGAGAGGGAGGGGAGGTAGGTGGGAGACAGAGAGAGGGGGGGAGGGTAAGAGGGAAGGACGAGAGAGGGGGGGGAGGTAGGTAGTAGAGAAGAGGGAGGGGTGAGGTGGTGGGACAGAGAGAGGGAGGGGGGAGGTAGAGACAGAGAGGGGGGTAGTGGGTAGAGACAGGGGGGGGAGGTGGGGACAGAGAGAGGGAGGGGGAGGTAGAGACAGAGAGAGGGAGGGGATAGGTAGGTAGAGGTAGAGAGAGGGAGGGGAGGTGGGACAGAGAAGGGAGGGGGAGGGTAGGAGGAGAGGACAGAGAGAGGAGGGGGGAGGTAGGAGGAAGGAGGGGGACGGATACACAGAGGGAGGAGGGGGAGGGATAGGTAGAGGACTATGAGAGGGGGGAAGGAGGAGAGAGGAGTACAGACCCAGTAGATAAGCGTCATAGGCTGTGATAGTCATGGTGTGGCTAGTTGACAGAGAAGGAGTCAGTTGCATTGTCACTCCTTCGTTTCTAAATCAAGCGTCAACTCCATCCCAGAGACGCACGCTGCTGTACAAATCAAACTCATTTCTGAAAGCACTAGTTATCTGGAAAACCACTATCTGCAAGTGATTGAATCCCCACTCTAGTCTCTCTTATACATTTCAAAAGGAAAAATCACATGTACACACATTTCATGTTCTCTACTGTTTGGCTGCAGTTACCATTCAGACTGGTATCTGAGGAGCCAGCTTGGTTGAAGGAGCTTAATAGCTGTTAGAGTTTATAGCTTCAATCTTTCCTGTTTAGGATGACAGTGCAATTCCCCATTTGCATCCCTGCTGAAGACTCAACAGATTGATTTGTTCAAGCAATCTAGTTTTCCCCCACGCATATCACTCTCCCCAAAACTAATCTCTCTCACATGATGTTTACCACATTTATTTTCTTTGTCAGATTTGAATATTTCTAGAAATGAGCAGGCATGTTTAGTGATCTAGCGGCACACTGTGCTTTCTTCTCTCTCTCTGTCCTCTACGTCAATGTTTGTCTCTCGCCCATTAACAGTACGTCACTTCTGATGCTTTTCTATAGAAAGCCAGAGACCAGTTTCTGACACATTCATTCTAACCCCTTGAACCCAAACCTCTCTTTCTCACGCATTCCTCCACAGATCTGAAGAGAGAGGCCAGTGTCTGACACATTAATTCTTACCCCTTACCCCAAACCTCTCTTTCTCTCGCTTTCCTCCACTGATCTGGAGAGGCCAGTATCTGCCACATGAATTCTAACCCCTTACCCCAAACCTCTCTCTCTCTCTCTCTCTCTCTCTCTCTCTCTTCTCTCTCTCTCTCTCTCTCTCTCTCTTTCCTCCACAGATCTGAAGAGAGAGGCCAGTATCTGCCATATCCTTGCACATGAATTCTAACCCATGAGCCCAAACCTCTCTCTCTCTCTCTTTCCTCCACTGATCTGGAGAGGCCAGTGTCTGACACATTAATTCTAACCCCTGACCTTTAACCCCCCTCTCTCTCTTTCCTCCACAGATCTGAAGAGAGAGGCCAGTATCTGCCACATGCTGAAGCATCCTCACATCGTAGAGCTAGTGGAGACGTACAGCTCTGATGGCATGCTCTACATGGTCTTCGAGTTGTGAGTCACAGTCTGTTCCTTTCTCTATTACACACGCACGTGCACGTGCACACACTCTCACACTCACTCACTCAATTATACACAGCAACATACATATTCATAGGATATAAGCATTTTTGCATCTAAAAAGTAGTTTGTTTCAAATGTGATGAGGTTTGATATGATTGTCGGGTTGCTGAACAGTCACACCAGTAGTGGTGTAATTGATGTGACCGTTGATAATGGATTTCTACTGCTCGCTAACGGTAGCATAGCTAGGCTACTTACCAGGACAGAGTACTGTATGGGTAAAGTGTGTGAGTGTGCGAGTGAGTGTAGCTGTGGCAGCATGCATACGTCAGTGTAGGAAGCTGTTATTTACATTTACATTTACATTTTCGTCATTTAGCAGACGCTCTTATCCAGAGCGACTTACAAATTGGTGCGTTCACCTTATGATAGCCAGTGGGACAACCACTTTACAATATATCCCATTTTTTTAGTTTTTTAACTTTTTTAAACTTTAGTTTTTATTTATTCTTATTTTTGTATTCTTCCCCGGGTGGAAGAGCAGCTCCGTCTTGCCGAGGTTCAGCTTGAGGTCGGTGATCCGTCATCCACACTGATATGTCTGCCAGACTGGTATAGAACGTGTTGAGGATTTTAAAAAAAAAAATACTAAATTAATGACGTCATCATTTCTCAATGACGTCATCATTTCTGAAATTACGTCATCATTTGTACCAACAGATGTAGCCTATTGAATATCATTTTAGAATATGGATAAAATTCATCCTCCAAATACAACGTCGGCCTACGCCCACACATATTGTCTACGTTTTTAATACCCTCAAACACCAAATTAGGCAAATAGGCATACCTAATTTCAAAATAGGCCATCTGTCAATCGTGAAATAATAATTATTGTTATTTTACCGGTGAAACGTCGAATCTGCATGGCAATAATTTTATCTCAATCAGATTCATGGGAATATGCGTTTAGATCTTCTTGAACTATGTAGGCCTACAGTGTAGTATGTATGTATGTACATTATGTAGGTAGGCCTAACTATGTTTTCGTGAGCGAATTAGAGTAGATGGTGGTAACCAATAGCATAGGCCTACCTGTGTTTTGTTTTAATCAAAGCTCATATTTTGTGGCGCCGTGGTACACAAGCTGTTAAGTTTTGGCCGCATGAGAAAAAAAATTGACCACTCAGCTAATCACCCTAAAAGGTGGTGTTTTTGGTCTTACAGTAATGTTATACTTAAGCGATAAGGCCCGAGGAGGTGTGGTATATGGCCAATATACCACGACTAAGGGCTGTTCTTAAGCACGATGCAACGCGGAGTGCCTGGCCACAGCCCTTAGCCATGGTATATTAGCCATATATCACAAACCCCCGAAGTGCCTTATTGCTATTATAAACTGGTTACCAACGTAATTAGAGCAGTAAAAATAAATGTTTTGTCATACCCGTGGTATACGGTATATACCACGGTTTTCAGCCAATCAGCATTCAGGGCTCGAACCACCCAGTTTATAATGTCTGATATACCACGGCTGTTAGCCATTCTCTCTCTCTCTCCTATAGTATGGATGGTGCAGACCTGTGTTTTGAGATTGTGAAGAGGGCAGACGCTGGCTTCGTCTACAGTGAAGCGGTGGCCAGGTAAGACCAAGTCCACTTCCCATGATACTCCATTTGAAAGAGTTCCTCCTGTTGCATTGAGTTCAATTCAATCTGATGGCTTCACTTTTCTCCAAGGCCGCACTTCGATGTGACATTCAGCATTTCAAAACTTTATTAAAACACAACAAGTGAAAAAGGAATTCAGAGAAGAATACCAAAACACACAAAACACCATAGACAGAAATAACCACTTGTCACTATTACAACAATGTTGTTTCGAATCAATAGTCATGGTGTTTTATTTCTCTCTTCCCGTCTCCCGCTCCAGTCACTACATGAGACAGATCTTAGAGGCACTACGGTATTGTCATGACAACAACGTCATCCATCGAGACGTGAAGGTAGGCCCTGGTCTCCGTTTGATAGTGTGTGTGTTCGTACACGTGTCTCCCGGAAACAGAGTTTACTTGGAGTTGGAACCTACCTCTGATTTTACTGTGCTCAGTCCCCTCCTCCCCTCCTCAGCCATCATGACCCAGACTACAACAGCTGAGGAGAGAATTCTCTCTGATTCCCCGTCTTGACCCAGATACGTTTTTCAATCTGGCTGTCCATCAGAACAATTAATAAGTGAGTTTGAGTTTATTTTTACAGGGACAGTGAAACATTAGTCAACGTTAATTTTCAACCGTAGTCCCTGGGCAGGTTATTAAAAACAATTACAATAACAATACATACAAACAATGAGCAGTGAGCACATGCAGAGCAACATAGGACAAGCAACACGTAGCATGCAGACAGACAGCAACATAGGACAAGTAGCACCAGACAGCAACATCGGGCACGCAGACAGACGCAACCTAGGACAAGCAACACGTAGCACGCAGACAGACAGCAACATAGGACAAGCAACACGTAGCACGCAGACAGACAGCAACATAGGACAAGCAACACGTAGCACGCAGACAGACAGCAACATAGGACAAGCAACACGTAGCACGCAGACAGACAGCAACATAGGACAAGCAACACGTAGCACGCAGACAGACTGAGCAACATAGGACAAGCAACACGTAGCACGCAGACAGACTGAGCAACATAGGACAAGCAACACGTAGCACGCAGACAGACTGAGCAACAAAGGACAAGCAACACGTAGCACGCAGACAGACCGGCAACATAGGGCACGCAGACAGACCAGGCAACATAGGACAAGCAACACGTAGCACGCAGACAGACCGGGCAACATAGGACAAGCAACACATAGCACGCAGACAGACAGACAATATAGGACAAGGCATACGTAGCATGCAGCACCGACGTAGAACCATAGGACAAGCAACACGTAGCACGCAGACAGACCAGGCAACATAGGACAAGCAACACGTAGCACGCAGACAGACCAGGCAACATAGGACAAGCAACACATAGCACGCAGACAGACAGGGTAACATAGGACAAGCAACACATAGCATGCAGACAGACCGGGCAACATATGACAAGCAACACGTAGCACGCAGACTTTTCAGATCACCCAGTAATGCTAACAGCAGGGTTAGCTCCAGGTAAATATTGCAATCCTTTAGCCATTCCTGGACCTGTGTCCAAAAACAAGCTACAAATGGACAGTACCAAAACAAATTATCTAATGATTCTGTCTCTTCACAACAAAATCTGCAGAGCTGGGAAGATTGTATCCCCCATATAAATAACATTCTAATGGTAGCAAGAATTTTATATAGTAATTTAAATGGAAAAATTATAAGTTTTGAATCCGGCGTCGTTTTGCGTATCAGTTCATAAACACTATGCCATGGAATCGGTACGTCAAAAATCTCTTCCCAACTATTTTGCAATCTATATGGGACGGCTGTCAATCCTTTGGTCCTTAAATGAAACTGGTATACTTTTTTATTTATCACAGTTTTCTTTAACCAATTATGTTCTTTAATGTAAGGCCGACAGACAAGTTCCTTACTTCTTCCCCCTTCCACTTTCCTCTTCCATTTTTGCGGTAATGCAGACATTTCCATATGTTTTTGTTAGCTGCATGTGCGACATAACTCCACCAGTCCTACCGACGATATCATTTACGAAGATTATACCTTTTTTTAAACATTTTGTCCAAAAAAAAATGTTTTTTGTCAATTAGTATATTTGAGTTTAACCACAATATTTGTTGCATTATTTATTCTGTCGTTTATAGAGGATTAAATTGAAATTGCAACCAACTTTCTATGGCTTGTTTTAGAAATAGTGATATTTGGGAGATTATTTCCTTTTCAAATAACTGAAAGTGAGAGGTTGTAATCTGAATAAAGGGAAAAAGGCCATTCTTGAACATTGGGTGAGACAATCTTACTAATTTGCTAGAGAACCAGTTCGGATTTAAGTATAACTTTTGTATGACTAAATCAAATCAAATCAAATTGTATTTGCAACATGCGCCGAATACAACAGGTGTAGACATTACCGTGAAATGCTTACTTACACCCCTTAACCAACAATGCATTTATTTCTTAATAAAAAAAGTCAAAAAGTAAAATAAAACAACAACAACAACAACAAAAAGTGTTGAGAAAAAAAGAGCAGAAGTAAAATAAAATAACAGTAGGGAGGCTATATACAGGGGGGTACCGGTGCAGAGTCAATGTACGGGGGCACCGGTTAGTTGAGGTAGTTGAGGTAATATGTACATGTGGGTAGAGTTAAAGTGACTATGCATAAATAAGTAGCAGCAGTGTAAAAAGATGGGGTGGGGGTGCAAATAGTCCGGAGAGCCATGATTAGCTGTTCAGGAGTCTTATGGCTTGGGGGTAGAAGCTGTTGAGAAGCCTTTTGGACCTAGACTTGGCGCTCTGGTACCGCTTGCCGTGCGGTAGCAGAGAGAACAGTCTATGACTAGGGTGGCTGGAGTCTTTGACAATTTTGAGGGCCTTCCTCTGACACCGCCTGGTATAGAGGTCCTGGATGGCAGGAAGCTTGGCCCCAGTGATGTACTGGACCGTACGCACTACCCTCTGTAGTGCCTTGCGGTCGGAGGCCGAGCAGTTGCCATACCAGGCGGTGATGCAACCAGTCAGGATGCTCTCGATGGTGCAGCTGTATAACTTTTTGAGGACCCATGCCAAATCTTTTCAGTCTCCTGAAGGGGAATAGCTGAAGCTTTTAGTGATAGGTTTAATGCTTTAATATTTAATCATTTCTGTCCTCCGAATTCATATTCATTATATAAATAGGCCCATTTAATTTTGTCTGGCTTGCCATTCCAAATAAAATGGAATCTTTTTTTCTCATATAATTTAAAAAACTGTTCGCTAGGCGTAGGCAAGACCATAAGCAAATAGGTAAACTGGGATAATACTAAAGAGTTAATCAGGGTAATTTTTCCACAAATTGACAGGTATTTATCTTATCTATTTTTGCTGACTTTCTATTAAAATGTATTGGAGTGAGATCATTTATTTCATTTGGGATATGTATTCCGAGTATGTCCACATCACCATCAGACAATTTTATTGGTAAACTACATGGTAATGTAAAAATAGTATTTTCTAGTGATCCAATACCTAATATAGTACATTTATCATAATTTGGTTGTAATTCAGAGAGGTTAGAAAATGTATCTAGATCCTCTATGAGGCTGTGGAGGGATTCAAGTTGTGGATTTAAAAGAAAACATGAATCATCAGCATACAATGACACCTTGATATTATTGTTGTATCTGATTTTAATAGCTAACATCTCGATGGCCATAATAAATAGATATGCCGATAGTGGACAACCTTGTTTCACTCCTCTTGACAGTTTAAAACTTTCTGAGAAATAGCCATTATTTACTATTTTACACCTAGGGTTACTATACATGATTTGAACCCAATTTATAAGAGATTCTCCAAAATTGAAATGCTCCAGGCATTTATATATAAACCCCAGTCGTACTTTATTAAATGCCTTTTCGAAGTCTGCTATGAATAGCAGGCCTGGTTTCCCAGATTTTTCATAGTGTTCTATTGTTTCTACTACTTGCCTTATATTATCTCCAATGTATCGTCCAAGTAAAAAACCTGTCTGATTAGAATGAATAATGTCCGACAATACCTTTTTAATTCTATGTGCTATACATTTTGCTAGAATTTTTGCATCACAACACTGAAGTGTAAGGGGCCTCCAATTTTTTTAATGGACTGGATCTTTATATTTTCCACTTTTATCCTGTTTCAGTAATAATGAAATCAGACCTTCTTCTTGAGTGTCTGATAATCTACCATTTACATAGGAGTGGTTAAAACATGCTAATAACGGTCCTCTGAGTATATCAAAAAAGGTTTGGTATACCTCGTCTGGTATGCCATCCAACCCCGGACTTAAAGTCTTTAATTGCATCCAGAAGTTCCTCCTCTGTAATATCACCTTCACATGAGTCTTTCTGTATGGCTGTTATTTTTACATTATCAATAGAAAACACATCTCTACAATTAGCTTCAGTTAGAGGAGATGGAGGCGACTGAAATGAAAACATATGCTTAAAGTACTTTGTTTCCTCCTTCAAAATATAATTTGGTGAATCATGGGTGACTCCGTCATTTGTAACCAGTTTCAGTAAATTATTTTTGGTAGCATTCCTCTGTTGAAGATTAAAAAAGAATTTGGTGCATTTTTCCCCATATTCCATCCAGTTTGCTTTTTAAAAATAATATATTACACTTGATCTTTCTTGAATAAGTTTCTCAATTTCTTTTTGTTTTTCTTCTAATTTATTCTGAGCCTCTATGTTACAGTTTTTATTGCTATTTTAGTCATTTAGCAGACGCTCTTATCCAGAGCGACTTACAATTAGTGAGTGCATACAGCTATCTGTTCTGTTAGACCTTCTATTTCCTTTGTTAGTATGGACTCTTTTGACCTAAATTGCTTTTGTTTTCGAGTTGAGTACTGAATTGCATGGCCTCTAAAGGCACATTTATAGGTGTCCCATACAATAAGGGGATTTGCTGTACCTATGTTATGTCGGAAAAAATCAGTTATCAATTCCTCTGTCCTAGTTAAAAACAAGTTATCATCCAATAGAGTTTGATTAAATTTCCAATATCCTCGCCCACGTGGAAATTCAGTAAGAGTAATGTATATTCCAATTATTAGATGGTCTGACCGCATTCTGTCCCCTTTTTTTCACTTTTGGTGCCAACGAGAATGACATAAGAAAGAAGTCAAGACGACTAGCTTGATTGAGTCTCCGCCATGTATATCTCACTAGATCAGGATATTTAAGCCTCCATATATCTACTAGTTCTAATGTATCCATGACATTCACGATTTCCTTAAGAGCATGAGGGTGATTGTTTGTAGTATGATTTCCTTTACGGTCAATAATGTTTGTACCATGTTTTGTGCTGCTACCATGTTGTGTTGCTACCATGTTGTTGTCATGTTGTGTTGCTGCCATGCTATATTGTTGTCTTAGGTCTCTCTTTATGTAGTGTTGTGGTGTCTCTCTTGTCGTGATGTGTGTTTTGTCCTATATTTTTATTACAGGAGGCCTTTTGCCTTTTGGTAGGCCGTCATTGTAAATAAGAATTTGTTCTTAACTGACTTGCCTAGTTAAATAAAGGTTAAATAAAAATAAAAGTTGTTTAGGGTGGAAACTGTGAGAAAACAGGTCGCTAGCTCACACCATAATCAGCCATTTTAACTCTGACAACTCAAGAGATTGATTACAGTAACAATGAGTAGTGTAGTCGTCGTTGGTGACAGAGTTGTCAGAGACAGTTGTTACAGGAGGGGGTCGCAGTTCCAGAAAATCCCACTAGGTGTCATCCTCCGACCACCTTTAGGCACCTCCTCACTCACAGTCGGGACTAATCAGTATCCTATTGGTGTCACCTGTGTCTATCGGTTCACCTGTGTATTTATGCCCTCACTTCCCTATGTTCCCTTGCTTTGTTTTCTCTGTTAGTTTCTCTATGTCCAGCAGTACTACTCAGTGTCTGATCGGAGACCTATGTACAGGTACTTGAGAAGTGTTCTCCCTGTTTCGTTATTTGTTTCAGTCGTAGAAAGTATTTCGTATTTTGGCTGTCAGCCGGTTTTTGGAGACTTATTTGCTCCGCCTTTCTTTTATCGTGATAAGTCCGTTATTTTGTATTTTGGCTTCGGGACCACCAGTAAAGATCCTTGTTTCACCATCTCTGCCTACTGCCTACTGTATATCCTGCACCGCACCTGGGTCACACCTCACACCAACCCTTACAGACAGTGAGTTGATGCTGGTGTTTTCTCAGCAAGCACAGACAGAGTGAGGCTGAAATAGCTCTGGCAACGGCTGTAGACGGCAGACACTGTTCTGAATATGAAGCCCTGGCTGTTCAAATACTGCTGACAGTTTTTACACCAGAAACTGCTGGGGACAGAGATCGACAGATAGATAAATAGACACCCCACCCTCTCTCACTTTTTTGCTTACTGTCTGATTAAGGGTGCCTCAACAGAGGTCACACACAGGTTATAAATTGCGACGCTGTCCTTGTTGAATATGGAGCAGCCTGTGTGCGTCAGTGCGTGTAAGTCAAGGTCTTTGAATTCATTTGAATCTCTTAGAAGTATAAATCACAGAGCATCTCTGTTAATCTCCTATTATTCATAATAGCCCCTTCTTCTCACCACGCTGTGTGTGTGTGTGTGTGTGTGTGTGCGTGCGTGCGTAGGCATCTGTGTGTGTATGAGCGATTGTAAACCACAGACTGTCACATGCCTGATTACATCAAATATGACATTCTGAAAAGGGAACGTTGACAGAATGACGGGAATCGGTTCGGAATGTTGATGTTTTCATTCTAGTTCCGGAAACAGACATTATAATGCAGTTTGTATTGTTCTATTGGTTACCTTGTGATAATGGACTAGATGACAGACTATTAAAACTAGTAGAAGTACACAGATAAATATCTAGCTCTTTTCAGATAGACGGTGTTGATGGAACGACGCCTCACTGAATATTTATTGTGTAATGGTAAAGAATACCGTTGAAATCAAACAGTAACTTGGTCTGAGCTCCTGTGTGTGTCTTCTAGGCTATTTGTTGTAGAGTAATGCAGAAGCCATATGCATTGTCCCATGGCAAGCACTGTGTTGCATCTTTCCCTTCAAATACTGCATACTAGCTGTATGTTGTCTTCTGTTTGTGTTCTGTGTGTGTGTGTGTGTGTGTGTGTGTGTGTGTGTGTGTGCTGTATTATTATCTCATAACAAATGCCACACACACACACACATAACAAAACCTTCACCTCGCTATGCGTGGTGTCAGCACTGTGGGCGGTGGTCCACTGAGACAGACCGTACAGGTCAGAACTGGATCAGCAATGCAGTGACAGGCAAAAGATCTCTGTTAATACAAACACACACATATTGGCAAGAGCTGGACATGAAATACATAGCAAAACTCAACTCTACGCTTCGTACTGTAGCAACAGAGAGAAGAGAATGTTTGCTGCTTCCATCAGTGATCTTTCTCTTCACTCCAGTAGGATGCAAGTGGGGCCAGTGGTAGTAATGGCAGCCTGTGTGTTTGTCATGTCTGCACTCTGATAAACAAGCAGACAGTGGGAATTGAAGAGAGTTGGCTCTTATCTGCGAATGCTAATAGCTCAACATGGAGAAAATGTCACATCCTCCACATGAATGGAGAGAATGAGAGAAGGGGTGGGAGGGACGAAAGCGGCAGAGCGATGAATAAATAGACTGTGGCTTTTCCTACTGTGTACACAGCGTTAGCTGCTAGAATGTGTTAGTGGCCATGGAAGCTTCCTAATAGTCGTATTGGTGTTATTTATGACTGAGTGGGATGGTGTGTGTCTACTGGTAACTATCTTGTAATGGGAACCAATGATTCCTGGTGTCTGGATATAGACGAAAACACGTCCAGCTCTGAATATCAGCTACAGTCACACACCTGCACATACACACACACACACACACACTCTGCTGTGGCCCACTGGAATAGTTAATGAGTCTGAGTCATGGAAGAGATGTTGTGAATTACAGCACTAATCTGGTGTAAATAGCCAGGATAAATCAAGTTTAAAGTGGAGCCAAAATAAATGCCTTTGATTAAAATGCTGTGTTGATCACCTTTATTGAGCTTAATACAGTTGAAGTCGGAAGTTTACATACACTTAGGTTGGAGTCATTAAAACTTGTTTTTCAACCACTCCACAAATGTCTTGCTAACAAACTATTGTTTTGGCAAGTCGGTTAGGACATCTACTTTGTGCATGAATCAAGTCATTTTTCCAACAATTGTTTACAGACAGATTTTTTTACTTATAATTCACTGTTTCACAATTCCAGTGGGTCAGAAGTTTACATACACTAAGTTGACTGTGCCTTTAAACAGCTTGCAAAATTCCAGAAAATGATGTCATGGCTTTAGAAGCTTCTGATAGGCTAATGGACATCATTTGAGTCAATTGGAGGTGTACCTGTGGATGTATTTCAAGGCCTACCTTCAGTTCAAACTCAGTGTCTCTTTGCTTGACATCATGGGGAAATCTAAAGAAATCAGCCAAGACCTCAGAAAAAAAAGACCTCCACAAGTCTGGTTCATCATTGGGAGCAATTTCCAAACGTCTGAAGGTACCACGATCATCTGTACAAACAATAGTACGCAAGTATAAACACCATGGGACCATGCAGCCGTCATACCGCTCAGGAAGGAGACGCTTTCTGTCTCCTAGAGAATAACGTACTTTGGTGCGAAAAGTGCAAATCAATCCCAGAACAAGAAGCAAAGGACCTTGTGAAGGTGCTGGAGGAAACAGGTACAAAAGTATCTATATCCACAGTAAAACAAGTCCTATATCGACATAACCTGAAAGGCTGCTCAGCAAGGAAGAAGCCACTGCTCCATAACCGCCATAAAAAAGCCTGACTACGGTTTGCAACTGCACATGGGGACAAAGATCGTACTTTTTGGAGAAATGTCCTCTGGTCTGATGAAACAAAAATATAACTGTTTGGCCATAATGACCATCGTTATGTTTGGAGGAAAAAAGGGGGGGATTGCAAGCCGAAAAACACCATCCCAACCGTGAAGCACGGGGTGGCAGCATCATGCTGTGGGGGTGCTTTGCTGCAGGAGGGACCGGTGCACTTCACAAAATAGATGGCATCATGAGGAAGGAAAATTATGTGGATATATTGAAGCAACATCTCAAGACATCAGTCAGGAAGTTAAAGCTTGGTCGCAAATGGGTCTTCCAACTGGACAATGACCCCAAGCATACTTCCAAAGTTGTGGCGAAATGGCTTAAGGACAACAAAGTCAAGGTATTGGAGTGGCCATCACAAAGCCATGACCTCAATCCTATAGAAAGTTTGAGGGCAGAACTGAAAAAGCGTGTGCGAGCAAGGAGGCCTACAAACCTGATTCAGTTACACCAGCTCTGTCAGGAGGAATGGGCCAAAATTCACCCAACTTATTGTGGGAAGCTTGTGGAAGGCTACCTGAAACATTTGACCCAAGTTAAACAATTTAAAGGAAATGCTACCCAATACTAATTGAGTGTATGTAAACTTCTGACCCACTGGGAATGTGATGAAAGAAATAAAAGCTGAAAGAAATAATTCTCTCTACTATTATTCTGACATTTCACATTCTTAAAATAAAGTGGTGATCCTAACTGACCTAAAACAGGGAATATTTACTAGGATTAAATGTCAGGAATTGTGTAAAACTGAGTTTAAATGTATTTGGCTAAGGTTTATGTAAACTTCCGACTTCAACTGTAAGTGTGAAGGTATACTCTTGACTTAAATAAATTTTTCTATTCACAAAAATCACACGGTTGTATGCCCACATGTACTCACACACTCACACACACATACTGTAAGTTGCTCTGGATAGGAGTGTCTGCTAAGTGAATAAAATATAAATGTCATAACTCAGAGACCGGCTTATTGTTGCTATATTTTATTTACTTTTATTTAATCAGGGGAGCCCAGTTGAGACCATTGTCTCATTTGGTGCCCTGAAGACACAAATTCCATCAATACAACAACAAACGATATCAAGAAACTACAAAACCGCTATAAATACATCAGGTTATTACAACAAGTTATAATAGTCAATTGCAACAATTGCACACTTCAGTGAACTCATTTAACAGCAGAGTTTTAAAATGCCTGATCGGCACAAGGGAATCCAGGTGTAATTTGTTTTGGAACGTTTCCATAACTATGGTGCGTTAAAACCATTGGAGGCTCCTCAGAGGAGGAAGGGGAGGACCATCCTCCTCAGTGAATTTCATAAAAATACAAATAGGGAAACATAAAAAAAGCGATCCTTTTTAGATGCAACTATACTAAATATATTCATATGTCACCAAATTATTGATTAAAACACACTGTTTTGCAATGAAGGTCTACAGTAACATCAGCAGCACTCTGTAGGGTAGCACCATGGTGTAGCCAGAGGACAGCTAGTTTCCATCCTCCTCTGGGTACATTGACTTCAATACAAAACCTAGGCGGCTCATGGTTCTCACCCCCTTCCATAGACTTACACAGTAAGTATGGCAACTTCCGGAGAACGTCCTCCAACCTATCAGAGCTCTTGCAGCATGAACTGACATGTTGTCCACCCAATCAAAGGATCAGAGAATGAATCTGGTACTGAGAGCATAAGCTAAAGCTAGCTAGCACTGCAGTGCAGTGCATAAAATGTGGTCAGTATTTGACTCAGAGAGAGAAAGACAAAAGTTGAACAGTTTTTAACTAATTCATTTCTTCCAAAATTAAGAAGTGAAAGAGAGAGCTATATATTTTTTTACTCTCACTTTCACTTGGGAACTCTTCCAAGTCAAGGTTTTATAAATGTATTGCCACCGGTGTAACTGCTAAACTGCTTTCTAACTGTACACTGTACTGCAAGATTGTAGCGGGTTTACTAACGCGCTAGTATGTTGACTATGATGTGACAATGATGTAGGCTGTGTGTAGCTGTTAGCGGTCATGATATGAAGGTTTGGCTTGGAACGTTTTTTTTGCCTGGTCACAGACAGCTGATGTGTTGTGCACTGAAGTCCACAAGCGAAGGGAAAAGGTGAGAGGAGAAGAGTGAGTAGATAGTTACGAGAAGGAATTATATATACAAAGTGATCATGCTGTTTTTATGTGGCTTCTATGAAAGTGAACTGTTTGCGTGTGATAAGGGGTGTATTCATTCTGCCGATTCTGTTGAAAAACGTTTCTTAAACGCAAGCAAGCGGAAAAAAAACGAGGATAAACATACCTGAATTTATCCAATAGAAACTCTCATTTGCAACTGTTGGACTAATGATTACACCCTAGATCAGCTAGATGCAGGCAATAGTGTGCAAGGCGGTATTGAATGTGTCACTGTCTGTCACCTTGATTACTCAGAATTCTCTCGAACTGTGCACCTACGTTGTAAACTTTCATTCATAGGCTAGGTTGTAGCAACCTCATGATGGGTACAGGGAAAATTTGAGTATCATGTAGTAGCCTAAACCTATCGATGTTACATTGAGCTGGGTGAATGGAATATGAACGACAGTCATCCAATATGCTGTAATAAAAATAAGGCCATGCTCATTGAAAAATGGAAAATCCTCCCTCATCTTAAACGGTACCGACCGCCACTGGTTAAAACTAAAGGCGGATTTACCAAACTTTGTGTGAAAAGGTAGCACTTTGAACATTATATTTAGACAAGGAAAAACAAACAGTGTGCACTCTGCATAAAGGGTACAGGGTAAAGATTGAAGGCATAAGTCTCCTGTTGAAGCAGGTGTAGGTATTACAATATTGCTGCTGTCTCTGGGCCCTATCAGTCCTTGGTTGAGTCTGTACAGTGGCGCTTTTCTCCTCTCTCGCTCTTTCTCTTTTTATGTGTGTGTGTGTGTGTGGTGGAGTGTGGCAGATTCTCTCACCTGTCTGCTTCTGTCTAGTCCTCCAGGGGGACTCATCTGCCAGGCCCACACTTCACAGGACAATACACACACACACACACACACACACACACACACACAAATAATTTACTCCTGCAGGGCCAACACTTTACAGAGCAATCCCTCCTCTCTCCTATTTCACATACACTCTTGTTACACACACAGAGAAACACACACACACACACACTGTATAACTTACCACTGCAAGGCTTCTATCATACCTAATTCACACACTGCATACAACACACATACACTTAACACATACCAGTGGTGGGAAAAGTACCCAATTGTAATACTTGAGTAAAAGTAAAGATACCTTAATAGAAAATGACTCAAGTAAAAGTATAAGTCCCCCAATAAAATACTACTTGAGGAAAAGTCTAAAAGTACAGTGCCTTGAAAAAGTATTCATCCCCCTTGGCGTTTTTCCTATTTTGTTGCATAACAACCTGTAATTTAAATGGATTTTTATTTGGATTTCATGTTATGGACATACACAAAATAGTCCAAATTGGTGAAGTGAAATGAAAAAAATAACTTGTTTCAAAAAAATTCATAATGGAAAAGTGGTGCGTGCATATGTATTCACCCCCTTTGCTATGAAGCCCCTAAATAAGATCTGGTGCAACCAATTACCTTCAGAAGTGACATAATTAGTTAAATAAAGTCCACCTGTGTGTAATCTAAGTGTCACATGATCTGTCACATGATCTCAGTATATATACACCTGTTCTGAAAGGCCCCACAGTCTGCAACACCACTAAGCGAGGGGCACCACCAAGCAAGTGGCACCATGAAGACCAAGGAGCTCTCCAAACAGGTCAGGGACAAAGTTGTGGAGAAGTACAGATCAGGGTTGGTTTACAAAAAAATATCTGAAACTTTGAACATCCCACGGAGCACCATTAAATCCATTATTAAAACATTTTAAGAATATGGCACCACAACAAACCTGCCAAGAGAGGGCCGCCCACCAAAACTCACAGACCAGGCAAGGAGGGCATTAATCAGAGAGGCAACAAAGAGACCAAAGATAACCCTGAAGGAGCTGCAAAGCTCCACAGCGGAGATTGGAGTATCTGTCCATAGGACCACTTTTAAGCCATACACTCCACAGAGCTGGGCTTTACGGAAGTGTGGCCAGAAAAAAGCCATTGCTTGAAGAAAAGAATAAGCAAACACGTTTGGTGTTCGCCAAAAGGCATGTGGGAGACTCCCCAAACATATGGAAGAAGGTACTCTGATCAGATGAGACTAAAATTGAGCTTTTTGGCCGTCAAGGAAAACGCTATGTCTGACGCAAACCCAACACCTCTCATCACCCCGAGAACACCATCCCCACAGTGAAGCATGGTGGTGGCAGCATCATGCTGTGAGGATGTTTTTCATCGGCAGGGACTGGGAAACTGGTCAGAATTGTAGGAATGATGGATGGCGCTAAATACAGGGAAATTCTTGAGGGAAACCTTTCAGTCTTCCAGAGATTTGAGACTGGGACGGAGGTTCACCTTCCAGCATGACAATGACCCTAAGCATACTGCTAAAGCAACACTTGAGTGGTTTAAGGGGAAACATTTACATGTCTTGGAATAGCCTAGTCAAAGCCCAGACCTCAATCCAATTGAGAATCTGTGGTATGACTTAAAGATTGCTGTACACCAGCGGAACCCATCCAACTTGAAGGAGCTGGAGCAGTTTTGCCTTGAAGAATGGGCAAAATCCCAGTGGCTAGATGTGCCAAGCTTATAGAGACATACCCCAAGAGACTTGCAGCAGTAATTGCTGCAAAAGGTGGCTCTACGAAGTATTAACTTTGGGGGGTTGAATAGTTATGCACGCTTAAGTTTTCAGTTTTTTTGTCTTATTTCTTGTTTGTTTCACAATAAAAACAATATTTTGCATCTTCAAAGTGGTAGGCATGTTGTGTAAATCAAATGATACAACCCCCCCCAAAAATCCATTTTAATTTCAGGTTGTAAGGCAACAAAATAGGAAAAATGCCAAGGGGGGTGAATACTTTCGCAAGCCACTGTATTTGATTCAAATTTTACTTAAGTATCAAAAGTAAATGTAATTGCTAAAATATACTTAAATATCAAAAGTAAAAGTATAAATCAGTTCAAATTCCTTATATTAAGCAAACCAGGCGGCAACATTTTATTTTTTTATTGTATTTACAGATAACCAGGGGCACACTCCAACCCTCAGACATAATTTACAAACGACAGCATGTGTGTTTAGTGAGACCGCCAGATCAGAGGCAGTAGCATTAAAAATATACATATCAAGTTGCACATTACTTCTCCCTCTCCCTCATAAATATACAAGGTGCTCTTTGAATGAATTGGGAGTGAAAAAAACAGCACCACATGGTAAAAGTTCTGGACTCATTTCTCCTGGTCAATTTAATGAATGTTGTTGAATGAGGTGATGAAAATGGTCAATGTAAAAAATAAAACAACTTTACAGAGCACTTCCCTGACTCCAGTTCACCGAGAATGACTCTTTCCATGGCCCCTCACCCTTATGACACACAGTCTCCTCCAACCTCACACCATTTGGATTGGCTCTGGTGGTGGCCCCGCTGGATGATTGGCTGCTGGGCTTCTGTGGGTGGAGCCTAAGCAGTAACATGACATGCCTGTGGAAGGTCTTGTCCAACAAGAAGTACATCACTGGGTCGGCAGAACACCGCAGCACGGTGAGACAAAGCAGTAAGTTCTTGACCTGAGACAAAAATCAACATACTGTTACGAAGTTAGACGGCTATAAACTCTACATCATGTAATATACCTCAGACTGATAAAACTCAACTCCACAAAACATGATTTGCTTCTGGAAGTGCTCTTGAGCCAAAATGAATGGAAAAATATTGCCTATAGTAAACCTATAGTATATTGTCTATTGATAATGGTAAACTGCTGCACCTTTTAATTTAAAGGATATATTAAAGTGTTGTTGACCTCAACGATGGCAGAGAGAGGATGGCAGGGCCCCCTGGTGGTGGTGGTGGCTGGGTCAGCTTGGTGCTGGACAATGGAGACAAAGATGGACTTGAAGATGTGGTAAGGCAACATGCACACTATCAGAACCACCTGGAGTTGAGGAGGAGGAGGAATAGAGGAGAGGAGGAAAGGTTGAGATGAGAAGTTAAAGTCGTTTAGATATAAAGCGACTAGCTGTCTAGCGAATAGCATCTGTGAGTCTTAGTCTATCAGTAAGAAAAGATTCAAAATAGACAGAAGAACGAATCCCCACCTGGATCACCACGATGTTCCGGAACACTCTTCCCAGCAGCTTCTGGGAGCCGTTGACAGCGGCACTCCGACGCGACCTCCATATATGCCTCGCCACCGCCATGTACGACGTCAGCACCAGCAGGAAACACATGAAGAAGATCACAATGGCCACCACCATCGCCCCCCTCGACAGGCTTCCCCCCATCTCCATTGCCACACTGTAACACACCCTCCCCCCCTTCTCCTCACCCCGTCCTCCTCTCCCTCCATTCTCACCACCTCCACCCACCTTCGTCTCCCTCACTGAATAGTAAACTGTCACGGGTACTATGGCCACCACCACCATTATCCAGACCCCGGCGCACACGGCCTTAGCGAACCTCACCCGTCTCAGCCTGGTGAAGAAGGCAAGGGGTAGCAGGGTGGTGCAAGTGCTGGGGCGGCTGGCATGGGTGTGCTGGATGAGGGTGGCGAAGCGGCTGAGAGCCACCCAGGTCAAGATGAAGATGCTGATGTAGATGTTGATCTGCTGAATGGGTGTGACCCCATGGAGGACCAGCTGGCACAGGGGGCTCCACACCAGCCAAGCTGGACCCTAGGAAGGAATTGACAAGGATTTTTTTTTTTACTGTTCTTATTTATCTTTACGTGTCTTACGACATATGTGACCCATCCCTTGATTGGTAGATCATGTGACCCCTCCCTTCATTGGTAGATCATGTGACACATCCCTTACTCAGGATTGGTAGATAATTTAAAACAATTATAAATCTGCCACACAAAACATGACTTTTAAGACTTAAATTCTTTATTATTATTATTTACAAGGCCTTTATAGAGGCTTCATAAATCATATATAGGCCTTTATAGATGATTCATATATCATATATAGGCCTTTATAGATGCTTAATAAATCATATATAGGCCTTTATAGAGACTTCATAAATCATTCATAATAGTCCAGGCGAAATGTGCCAAATTTGAAGTGATACGTTCACTTTTTCATAAAAGCATGAAACTTGGTATCCTTGTACAGTTTGGGGCCCTGAACATTTTCAGATATGGAGGCAAATGGCCGTGGTGGCCATTTTCCTTTCTGCCACAACCAAATAATGTATTTTGCGTCATAACTTCTGAACCAAACACGATAACACAGTAAATGTGATGTTACTCCTATGTTTTGATGGTCAAGGATTACAATGATGCCATGCACAACATCAAAAACAAGGCCTGGCGGCCGTGGCGGCCATTTTGCTATTCCGCCATAACCGGACAATGTATTTTCTGTCATATCTGCTGAACCAAACATGATAACACAGAGAAGGTGATGTCTACACCTATGTTTTGATGGTCAGGATTACAAATGAGCTGTCTACAAGACAAATAGTTCTGGTTATTATATAATTGTGGACCGCCATTGGGAAGAAATCCAATGAAATCACAGTTTCTGACAACATACACAATAGAATATTATGTCTGTGGCATACAGAACCATACAGTTGTCTGCTGCTGCCATATAATATAATATGCCATTTAGCAGACGCTTTTATCCAAAGCGACTTACAGTCATGTGTGCATACATTATTATTTTTTTGTGTATGGGTGGTCCCGGGGATCGAACCCACTACCTTGGCGTTACAAGCGCCGTGCTCTACCAGCCCCTGGTTGTGAATGTGGACATTGTAAATTCATGGAACACAAGAAGGGCCTTTGATTTGTCTGGACCCAGGGAGTTGGTGATTTCATGGGCATGTATGTGCAGTGCATTCAGAAAATATTCACACCTCTTGACTTTTTCCAGATTTTGTTGTGTTACAGCCTGAATTTAAAATTGATTAAATTGAGTTTTTTCACTGGCCTACACACAATACCACATAATGTCAAAGTGGAATTATGTTTTTCTAAATGTTTACAAATTAATTAAAATTGAAAATCTGAAATGTCTTGAGTCAATAAGTATTAAACCCCTTTTGTTATGGCAAGCCTTAATAACTTCAAGAGTAAAAAAGATTGCTTAACAAGTCGCATAATAAGTTGCATGGACTTAGTGCAGTTTAAAAAAACAATTTTTCTTACTACCTCATCTTTGTACCCCACACATAGAATTATCTGTAAGGTCCCTCAGTCGAGCAGTGAATTTCAAACACAGATTCAACCCCAAAGACCAAGGAGGTTTTCCAATGCCTCGCAAAGAAGGGCAACTATTGGTGGATGGGTAAAAAAAAAAAAAAAAGCAGACACTGAATATCCCTTTGAGCATGGTCAAGTTATTAATTAAGCACAACAAGACAGTCGTGAAGAGGGCACGACAAAACCTATTCCCCCTAAGGAGACTGAAAAGATTTGGCATGGGTCCTCAGATCCTCAAAAGGTTCTACAGCTGCACCATCGAGAGCATCCTGACTGGTTGTATCACTGCCTAGTATGGCAACTGCTCGGCCTCCAACCGCAAGGCACAACAGAGGGTAGAGTGTACGGACAGTACATCACTGGGGCCAAGCTTCCTGCCATCCAGGACCTCTATACCAGGCGGTGTCAGAGGAAGGCCCTAAAAATTGTCAAAGGCTCCAGCCACCCTAGTCATAGACTGTTCTCTCTGCTACCGCACGGCAAGCGGTACCGGAGTGCCAAGTCTAGGTCCAAGAGGCTTCTAAACAGCTTCTACCCCCAAGCCATAAGACTCCTGAACATCTAATCAAATGGCTACCCAGACTATTTGCATTGCCCATTCGGCGCATGTGACAAATATAATTTGATTTTGGATGGTGTATCAATACACCCAGTCACTACAAAGATACAGGCGTCCTTCCTAACTCAGTTGCCGGAGAGGAAGGAAACCGCTCAGGGATTTCACCATGAGGTCAATGGTGACTTTAAAACAGGTACAGAGTTTAATGGTTGTGATAGGAGACAATTTAGGATGGATCAACAACATTGTAGTTACTCCACAATACTAACCTAATTGACAGAGTGAAAAGAAGGAAGCCTGTACAGAATAAAAATATTCCAAAACATGCATCCTGTTTGCAACAAGGAACTAAAGTAATACTGCAAAAAATGTGGCAAAACAATTAACTTTTTGTCCTGAATGCAAAGTGTTATGTTTGGGGCAAATACAATATAACACATTTCTGAGTACCATTCTCCATATTTTCAAGCATAGTTGTGGCTGCATCACGTTATGGGTATGCTTATAATTGTAAAGGACGGTGGAGTTTTTCAGGATAAAAAATTAACGTAATGGCAAAATCCTAGAGGAAAACTTGGTTTAGTCTGCTTTCCAACAGACACTGGGAAACAAATTCACCTTTCAGCAGGACAATACCTAAAACACAAGGCCAAATATACACTGGAGTTGCTTACCAAGACGACACTGAATGTTCCTGAGTGGCTTATTTACAGTTTTGACTTAAATCGGCTTGATAATCTATGGCAAGACTTGCAATGATCAGCATCCAACTTGACAGAGCTTAAAGGATTGTTAAATGAATAATGGGCAAATATTGTACAATCCAGGTGTGCAAACCCAGAAAGACTTACAGCTGTAATCGCTGCCAAAGGTGATTCTAACATATATTGACTCAGGGGGTTGAATACTTATCTAATCAAGATATATTAGTGTTTTAAAAATGTTCAAATGTTTCTTCCACTTTAACATTAAAGTATTTTGTGTAGATCGTTGACAAACAAATGACAATTAAATCCATTTTAATCCCACTTTGTAACACAACAACATCATTGTAATCCTTGACCATCAAAACATAGGGGTAGACATCACCTTTTCTGGAATATCATGTTTGGTTTAGGAGATATGACGCAAAATAACATTCTTTGGTTATGGCGGAATTCAAACTTGCCGCCACGGTTTTTCCGATGCCTCCATTTCTGAAAATGTTCAGGGCCCCAAACATTACAAGTGAACCAAGTTTCACGATTTTATGAAAAAGTTTACATAATTTTCACATAACACCTGGATTATAAGAAAATATCATGCTTTACAAAAAGGGTGGCAAATACCAAATTTGGGCAAGATGCAGTACCAATCCAAATGTCAGTTACCTGTGAGTAGTAAGCAGCCAGGAAGGGGGTGGTGAGGGAGAGGCACAGGTTGGACAGGCCCAGGTGGGACAGGTAGACATGGGTGGAGGTCTGGGTGGGGATACGCCTCAAGAACACCCAGAGAGAGAGAGCGTTGCCCGGGAGACCCGTAAGGAAGAGGAGGGTGTAGAGGGAGGGGAGGACGAAGCGGGTGATGAAGGAGGGGCAGAGGGGAGAGATGGAGGAGGCATTGAGGTTGGAGGTGTTGGACACAGGTGGAAAGGGTTGGGATGTGTTCTCCATTGATCTGTCAGGCTAACAGAGAAAGAAAGGAGCAAGGAGAAAGAGAGTCATTTTCAGTGGTTTAGACATTAATTCCAAACTGTATATAAAACAGTGGCCGTGTCCGAATACCCACACTACAGTACTACATACTTAAACTGCATAGTATGTACTCATCGTCGCATACTATTTATGATGTAATGTTTAGTAAAAGGTATGCAGTATGCCACCGCCATAACGCGCTACTTTGCTACGGCTTTGTATATATAACTGGCTAGCTAGGTTAAATATGATGTTGTCGCTCAACAACAGCAAGCTTATCGGGGTCTCCAGCTAACTTCAAGTCCTACTAAAGCACGTAGCTATCATAAGCTACGGTATTTAGCTAAAGTAAAGGCACGGCAGGCTGCAAATAACGATCCGTTTTCAAAGATGCAAGATTAAATAGTCGTGATCATTTTAAGGACAGCAAAACATGACTTACATTTGAACACTGTAGGAGACTCTTTGCTCGTCTTCTTTGCCATCTTCAATTCGGTTTTTTGTTTACTTTCAGAGGACTATCAAATCTCAAAGCCCTCACTTTCAGAGGACTATCAAATCTCAAAGCCCTCACTTTCAGAGGGCTATCAAATCTCGAAACCCTCCTTTTATCCGGTTTGAATGCATTGTGATTGTGAAATTCCCAAAAAGTGTACAATTTATTTATACTACATGAGAAGCCGAAATGAGTATGACATTCGGCCATTTAATGCCTACAAAATTTTCGAAATGTCACATACTAATTTTTGCGTACTCAAACGGCCTACTATTTAGGACGCTAGTATTGAAAGTCCTTTAAATGCTTAACATGCTCTCAGGCCTTAGATAGATTTGCGCATCTGTTCTATAAACTTTATCAGACACTGAACGTTTTGTGGTGAACAGAACAATACCTTTGTTGTCAGTATTTCATCAGTAGGAAATAGGAACTGTTCGGACGGGAACTTACTTCAATGGAAATAATGTCTGCTGACTGTTTGCTGATCCATAATGTGGTCTTTACTAATAGCTATTGTCTTACTGATACAATAACTGGTACACTGTTTATAGCCATATTTGTTATCTAGCTCCTGTGCTACATTTGTATGTAATTGCGCAAAGCTGACGCTTGCTAGAATTACATTCAGTTACTGTATTGCATTTCCACCAAACAAAACCATAACATGGTTATTTGTTTAATTTATAAATCTATTCACATTGTGTGTGTTCATTTCTTTATTCTGTAATTACTGTATACTAATTCAGCAATGGCCCTCATATCATGTCAGAAGTATCAAAAAGTGTAAATCAAATGTATCTTTTTGAGAATTGTTATAAATGGCCAAAAGCACTATAATTTGATTATAGTGATAATGATTGTTTGTCCTTTTTTTGTTAAACTTAAAACAGCAACAAAGTATTCAACCAGTAAAACTCTTAATTAACCTCCGTTGCAAAATACTAGTGTAGAAAACGAGGATAATTTCCTGCTTTCTGTCAACGCACAGCAATTTTCACACAAAATGTTTTTTTATAAAGAAAGAAATCTAGTTTTCACAAAGATGAATACTTACAGTACAGAGATCAATTATGTCTGTTTGTGAGGTAGTTAGTTGTATGATATGTGTATGTGTAGCATCTAATATCCTTTTTGTCCCCTCAGCTTTTGATGGGGGAAGTGTGTGAGGAAGAGAACAGAAAGCAAGAGGGGTGTGTGTGTGTGTGTGTGTGTGTGTGAGATGTGGGTTGGTTCATGATGTGAGTTATTTTCATATGTCTGGGTGAGAGATGGTCACAGGAAGACTAAAGGGAAACACATTGTCTTGGTTGAGCCCCTTACAGGCTGAACGCTCACCCACTGACGTCTGCTGTGAAACACTCATGTAGCTGAAGAGAAAATACATCCAAATGAAGTATATTGTGGTTGAGTTGAAAATAGATGTATTGGTAGATGATCAGGGTTACATTCTAATGTGGTTTGTGTGACATGACAGCTATTATCAGAGTGTGCTGTATCAGGGAGAGGCAGTACTGAGAGAGCAGAGGAGAAGTTGTTGTCCACAGCATCTTACAGTCGCCCACAGGAGCGGCTCTCTGTCTGTCTGTCTGTCTGTCTGTCTGTCTGTCTGTCTGTGCGTCTTACTGCTGTCCTCTGCAGCAGGGCGCAGGGCCAGACGGAGTAAGGGATGTAAAACTCAGCTCAGCGCTGCGATGGTTATGGTTGCATTATTCACCTTCCATCGTGTTCTCACCTTCTCACAGTCGCCCCCGTGTGGTGAGAGCATCGTCACTGCATGCTGGACATGGTAGGGCAGGAAGCACGCCACAAACACCACAACCACAGCTAAGATCTTATAATATAATATAATATGCCATTTAGCAGACGCTTTTATCCAAAGCGACTTACAGTCATGCGTGCATACATTTTTTTTTGTGTATGGGTGGTCCCGGGGATCGAACCCACTACCTTGGCGTTACAAGCGCCGTGCTCTACCAGCTGAGCTACAGAGGACCACAGAACTATGAAGCCATCCTCAACAATTATCTTCCTACGTACCCTCAGAGTACGACCCGACGCCCCCTGCCTCTCTCCTGGCTCTGAACACACCCCCAAGTTTACACCCTATCTGTTCTCCCCTAAACTAACCCCACACCCCTCTTCCACCCCCACACTCACGCCCCGCCCCTCCATTACACCCTCCTTCACTGGTGTGTGTGGGTTTGTGCCAGGCTCCCCTGACCCTCTTCAGATGCAGCATTAGTCCTCCATAGCAGACCAGAATAAAGGTTAGAATCACAAAAAACAGCCCCACTCCCAGGCAGGGTTGGTTATTGAACCTGGTCAAAGCAGCTGTCGCGTCCTGCTCCTCCTTTTCCTCCTCTGATCTGAGGTACCACAGTGGCACTCACCACCGTTGCCGCGGTTACCTAGGTGACGAGGCAGAATACCCTGCAGCCTCTGGGCCTGGTGAGGGGCGTAAGGAGGGCAGGGTGAGGCTGCACCTACAAGCAGAGAAAGATTTGAGAGCAAAATTGAGTGGTTAATTGAGTAACTGATTAGTTGAAAAATTCATACAAAATAAACAGGTCAATCAAAACAACCTAATTCAAAATCAACCAGTCAGTTTTAAGTTTGAAGCCTGGTTGTTGGCATCCATACCACGGTGGCATAGTGTGTCACACTGGTCCAGAGAAGCAAAACCATGTTACAGTAGAGGTGACGTAGAAGACTGTTATCATGGTTAGCATGGTGACCTGACACACCCCTGTCCTCTCCGGACCAGATCTGACCCCTCAGGTAATACATCACCCGGAACAGGAAGCTGCCGCACAGCAAGAGGTCAGAGGTCACCATGTTAAGGGTCAGGATGATGGTTGGTGTCCGCCCCGACCTCCAGCAGTTACGCATGGGCAGGCCGTTGCCTAGGAAACCCAGGAGCGACAGGGCCAGGTAGAGCCAGGGCTTGACGTGTGTGTAGAAGAGGTCAGGGTATAGCCAACGCTGTCGGGAAGAGGAGAGAGGGGAAGGGAGGAGGCGGAGGAAGGGGAGGGGAGGAGGAGGAAGGGAGAGAGAGGGGAGAGGAGGAGGGGAGGGGGAGAGAAAGGGAGAAAGGAGAGAAAGGAGGGGAGGGGAGGGGGAGAGAAAAGGGGTCTATGTTACTCATAGACCCCAGTTCCTTTGCTAATACACCACATCCCTGTTACTTACCTATCTCAGTCCTGTTACCCACTTTCCTTAGGTAACTGAGAGAGGAGGGGAGAGAGAGGGGAGGGGAGGGGAGGAGGAGGAGGAAGGGAGAGAGAGGGGAGAGGAGGGGAGGGGGAGAGGAAGGGGAGGGGGAGAGGGGAAAGAGAGAGGAGGGGAGGGGAAGGAGAGGGGAGGGGAGAGGAGGGAGGGGAGGGAGAGGAGGGGGGAGGGAGAGGAGGGGAGAGAGAGGGGGAGCAATTGTGACCGATAAGAACATACTGTACAGTGAGTGCGGTTACATGCACACAATAATGCGATTATTGTGGATAGTCAGATTAATATAATAGTTTGTTTAAAACGTTTACATGCTTTGTAAGAAGAACGATTTCCCTGATAATCCTTTACATGGACACATCTGAAATCAGGCTACCTGATGGCACTCTGAAAATGTAGAAAATCGCAGATCAAAATAAACGTTCTACCACAGCGAATATGTTATTTTTGGGAAGCATATTTGATTCTGAGTTCGGAAATATAAAGTTTGTATGTGAAAACCACTTCTAAGACACATACATTCAGTTGTTCCAAACACACTTCACTTGCGCTAAAGAGGGAGGCTTGTGCTGCTGGTGCTGCCACATGTGCAGATCAAATACACTGCTGGAACTCTGATTAAGGCGTTTACATGTTCTAATAAAACCAGGTGTTTTAATCGGTTTATGCTTACTTCGATTTCGACCGTACGCCGATTTAAGATAAGCAGAGTAAGGTGTCTACATGACTATTGTATAATCTGCCTACTGCCATAATCAGTTTAATATCTAATTATTAGTTTGCATATAAACGTACTCAGCCTATAATAAAATTAACAGACATTTACACCTATTCCTCAGCCCCAATATATACAGTGAGGGAAAAAAGTATTTGATCCCCTGCTGATTTTGTACGTTTGCCCACTGACAAAGACATGATCAGTCTATAATTTTAATGGTAGGTTTATTTGAACAGTGAGAGACATAATAACAACAACAAAATCCAGAAAAATGCATGTAAAAAATGTTAGAAATTGATTTGCATTTTAATGAGGGAAATAAGTATTTGACCCCTCTGCAAAACATTACTTAGTACTTGGTGGCAAAACCCTTGTTGGCAATCACAGAGGTCCACCAGGTTTGCACACATCTCAGGAGGGATTTTGTCCCACTCCTCTTTGCAGATCTTCTCCAAGTCATTAAGGTTTTGAGCCTGACGTTTGGCAACTCGAACCTTCGCTCCCTCCACAGAATTTCTATGGGATTAAGGTCTGGAGACTGGCTAGGCCACTCCAGGACCTTAATGTGCTTATTCTTGAGCCACTCCTTTGTTGCCTTGGCCATGTGTTTTGGGTCATTGTCATGCTGGAATACCCATCCATGACCCATTTTCAATGCCCTGGCTGAGGGAAGGAGGTTCTCACCCAAGATTTGATGGTACATGGCCCTGTCCATCGTCCCTTTGATGCAGTGAAGTTGGCCTGTCCCCTTAGCAGAAAAACACCCCCAAAGCATAATGTTTCCACCTCCATGTTTGACGATGGGGATGGTGTTCTTGGGGTCATAGGCAGCATTCCTCCTCCTCCAAACACGGCGAGTTGAGTTGATGCCAAAGAGCTCGATTTTGGTCTCATCTGACCACAACACTTTCACCCAGTTCTCCTCTGAATCATTCAGATGTTCATTGGCAAACTTCAGACGGGCCTGTATATGTGCTTTCTTGAGCAGGGGGACCTTGCGGGCGCTGCAGGATTTCAGTCCTTCACGGCGTAGTGTGTTACCAATTGTTTTTTTAGTGACTATGTTCCCAGCTGCCTTGAGATCATTGACAAGATCCTCCTGTGTAGTTCTGGGCTGATTCCTCACCGTTCTCATGATCATTGCAACTCCATGAGGTGATATCTTGCATGGAGCCCCAGGCCGAGGGAGATTAACAGTTATTTTGTGTTTCTTCCATTTGCGATTAATCGCACCAACTGTTGTCACCTTCTCACCAAGCTGCTTGGCGATGGTCTTGTAGCCCATTCCAGCCTTGTGTAGGTCTACAATCTTGTCCCTGACATCCTTGGAGAGCTCTTTGGTCTTGGCCATGGTGGAGAGTTTGGAATCTGATTGATTGATTGCTTCTGTGGACAGGTGTCTTTTATACAGGTAACAAGCTGAGATTAGGAGCACTCCCTTTAAGAGTGTGCTCCTAATCTCAGCTCGTTACCTGTATAACAGACACCTGGGAGCCAGAAATCTTTCTGATTGAGAGGGGGTCAAATACTTATCTCCCTCATTAAAATGCAAATCAATTTATAACATTTTTGACATGCATTTTTCTGGATTTTTTTGTTGTTATTCTGTAACTCACTGTTCAAATAAACCTACCATTAAAATTATAGACTGATCATTTCTTTGTCAGTGGGCAAACGTACAAAATCAGCAGGGGATCAAATACTTTTTTCCCTCACTGTACATACATCCACCCACTTACCCACAAACTTAAACCCAATTACCCACACACCCCAGCCCTGTTACCCCCATGCCCATGCCCTAACCCTAGCACCCACATGCAAATACCCTAATATTGATAGAATCAAGTACCGATACACCCATATCCTAGCCCTAAATGCCCTATTTGTTACTCATAGACCCCAGTTCCTTTGCCAATACACCACATCCCTGTTACTTACCTATCTCAGTCCTGTTACCCACTTTCCTTAGGGAACTGTTGGTGACTTCACCAACTACTCCTACAAACCAGAGGGGTATCCTATGAAGCAGGTTTTAGGAGTTAGCGAGGCAACTTTGGTCAACTCTTGAGTTCAACTCGGGATAACCAGTCATATGAAAGTGGCTCATCTTTCAGCGAGGTACATTTCTATGACTCCAAATCTTTTGTGGCTCCGGGGCAGGCTACCTCAGGGCTTACTCCACTTACCCTGAATGAAATGACTGAGCCGCGATTTGAGGACCAATGAAATCAGATTCCCTCCCTCTTGCAAAGATTACGTCATCATCCCTCTACATTTGAGGAAGACTACTGATTTAAATATTTTATTCATCAAATGTTTTTTTCTGTGTAAATTATTTGTAATGTTAAGTTATATCACATTAAACATTTAGTAATGACATAACGCATTTTAAACTTCACGCACAGTAGCACTTTTGTATGACCTTTCACACCATAGCTTGCTGAATTTACAATAATTAAAATGTGGCACAAATTAAAATGTGGCACTGACTCGCCCAATATTTGATGTTTCATCATTGTCTCAATGAAGAGTTTGGCGTTCGACTAGCCATGTGCGACACGCACGCGCAGCTACAAGCCTGCTAGAGTTAGCGGCAGGTGGACGAGCAATATCCACCGTTGTAGTACGGATGAAGCCTGAGATGGAAGCTAACTGAAGCTAACCCTGAACAGATCTAGCTTGCTTCGTAGGAAACCCCTCAGGTCTACACCTTTGACTGAGTCCCAATACTAATATAAGCCAGATCTACACCTGCATATCTCAGCCCAAATACCCATAGGAACCAGGTTTACACCTGTGGCTATGTCTCCATACTCTGATAAACCAGGTCTACCCTTCTGACTATTCAGCAAAACTCACATAAACCAGGTCTACCATTGTGCAAGAGACACTAAACAAACCTACTGACATTAAATATTTGTTCAGTTATTACACTAATTCAGTTTATGGGTCTATACATTGCCAATTCTCCCTGAAATAACAAAATATGACGTTTTACAGTCAAAATCACTTTAACTTCTCTAGAGCCTGTAAAGTACAAACAAAAATGTGTTTCACTATTGTGACTGATGGGATTAAATGGTTTAACATCAAGGAATGGAGAAAACAGATATACAGTCAGCAATACATCCAATACAATACAATAGCACACTAGATAACTTCCTAACAGTGAACTTACATTTGTATAAACAAACAACAGCACAAACAAAACACATTTCATGAGTTGCACTAAGCACCTACGTAGATACGTTGTAGATAGACATCTTACCTGTGTGGATGATTGCTGGTTCCATTGAGCCAGTGAACAGAAAGGTTGACGGAGAGCATTTTGTAGTGTATTATCTGTTGCTAGATCCATCTTTGACTAGCCTCAGATGTGAACACTCCTTTTAACTTTGTCTAGCTCACTAGCTGTGTATCTCTCGCTTCATGTAAATACCTCCCTCATTCAAGCTTAATCTCTCTCTTTCTCTCACTGTCACGCATCCTGTGGGCAAAAATCTTGCTCCATATTACAGGGATTGACATTAAGGGTTGCCCTTTTGCCAAGGGCAAGTGAACTGAGCAGTGGTGCAAGTTGAGCCTGCTCTGCTGAGGTTGCCTCATTGGACAGATGTTTTTGTTTGTGTGTGAAACTGCAAAAATTCTGGTAGTCTAAAACAGGTCTTTCTGGTTCCTCCCCATTGTTTAAATGAAAGACGGACAATTTATGGCATTTCTGGCAGTCGGGCAATTTGAGCCTGCTCTGACAATTTCTTTAACTGATAACAACCAAAATACAAAGAATTCCAGTACTGATCTTTCTGATTCCTCCCCTATCTGTAGGTGAAAGGCAGGCAATAGGCCTATATGGCAATTCTGCGTGTAAATCGCTAAATAACATTTTCGGGCAATTAATAATATCTTCGGGCACCCAAGAAACACTCCTGACTTGGCCGATGGGCAAGTGCTTTTCCGACTTTAAAGTCAATCCCTGCTATTTCCTCACCGTTATCTCGACCCAGTGCCAAAGTTGTCAGAGTAATACCGTGTGTATCCAGACAAGGGCGTTCTGTAGTGGTTAGTAGTGGTGCGAGGGGTCAGCTGTTTGTTCACCCACACCCGCCCGCAATTGCTAATAATCTATCCTCAACTGCCCGACTATATGTGATAAAGTGAAAATCTGAGGCCCACACCTGACCCTAACCCTCTAATATAGAAAATGTGCTGTAGGCTACAGTCAGAGATGGCAGAACGATTTTTTGGCAGGGGGTGCAGGATTTTTTTTTGCCTGATTTAGATAGGCTATGTTTCTGCTTATAATTTCCGACATTTTGGTGGCTGTTTGTTAGTCAGCTTGTCTATAGATACATGCAGCTCAGTGGCGGTCGGTGCCGTTTAAGATTAGGGAGGACCTTTTTTTTTTATGAGCATGGCATTATTTCTATTACAGCATATTGGATGACTGTCATTCATATTCCATTCACCCAGCTCAATGTAACATCAATAGGTTTAGGCTTCTACATGATACCTCAAATTTTCCCTATACCCATCATGAGGTTGCTACAACCTAGCCTATGTGTGAAAGTTTACAACGTCAAGAATTTTGAGTAATCAAGGTGACACACAGTGACACATTCAATACCGCCTTGCACACTGTTGCCTGCATCTAGCTGATCTAGGGAGTAATCATTAGTCCAACAGTTGCACAATTATAATTTCTATTGGACAAATGTAGGTCTTTTTATACCCGTTTCGTTCCGTTTGCTTCCGTTTAAGAAATGTTTTTCAACAGAATCGGCAGGAATGAATACATCCCTGATCCCACACAAACACAGTTCACTTTCATAGCAGCCACATAAAAACAGCATGATCGGTTTGCTCGTTGTATATATAATTCCTTATCGCAACTATCTGTGCACTCTCCTCCTCTCACCTTTTCCCTTTGCTTGTGGACTTCAATGCACAAAACATTGTGACCAGGCAAAAAAAAACTTTCCAAGCCAAACCTTCATATCATGACCGCTAACCGCTACACACAGCCTACATCGTTGTGACGTCATAGTCAACATAGCTACTAGAACTAACGTGTTAGTAAACCCACTAGCTACAATCATGCAGTACAGTGTACAGTCAGAAAGCTATAACTCAACAAAAGAAAAAAAACGGGAAAGATGTTCTGTACAACATTTTCAAATGACATCAGTTTGACCGGTTGTAAGGAAATAGAAAGCTGTGAAAATGTTTCTGATAAGATGTCAATTCGGCTTGGATGCATATTTTATGTGGTTGAAATACAATCAGCTTTTATGATGCTGATCAAGATAGCTCCTCTACAGACGGTATCTAACTGAGCATTTGCATTCTCTCAAGATACTGAAAGAAAGAAATCATATTTCTTCATTCCTGTTCCCAAGTCCAAATTAGGCTACATTTGGTGTATATCAAATGTTTAATTCTGCAGGAGTTAATATATATATATATATATATATATATATATATATATATATATATATATATAATATTATGGCTATGTGAGAGGTTATAGACCTACAGTCAGTGTCCAGATTTCAGGTTCCATTGAACCCATCTGAACAGTAGGCTACAGTTCCCTTGACCTGCCATAGGCCTATTTCATGTCCCCATCTTGTGACTGTCGAATTTAAATAGCGCCTTACAATCATCACACCTAACATAGCGGGCACTGCTATCATCCTCTTTTACCACTTCACCAAATCTTTCCAAAACATGACTTTTCAGGCCCTCCCTTCTCTTTATTTTCAACTCTCCATTTCACAGCTTTTCTCTTATTGAAGTAAACTCAGACGTTGTCCTTTTTGCTGCCGTGGATTGCTCCAAAAAGCATTTGGCGATTGGCATGTAGGCAGTTTGGTGAACGTGTATAGTTAGGCCCTAAAGTTTAGGCTTATGCACTAATGCCAGATAGCCTAAAACAGGGTTCCCGAATTTGGCCTGCGGGTGGTTTTATTTGGGCCCCAAGTTTTCTGAGCAAAAAATAAATACATAATAAATGATTATTTTATTTTTTCATTGTTGGACATAAAATACTTTAAAAACACCAGGAAATCAGCTCCAATTGATTTTAATTTTGGAAATCTGTTCCCAAGTATTTCCACACAGGCAATTTGCAGTCTACAAATGATTGATAATTATGTTCCGGCCACCGACCATCCGCTCAAGAAATAAATCGGCCCGCGGCTGAATCTAGTTGATGATCCCTGGCTTAAAATAATGAAAGAAAAACCTTAATGTAGCCTATAGATATACAGTGTATTCGGAAGTATTCAGACCCCTTTACTTTTTCCACATTTTGTTACGTTACAGCCTTATTCTAAAATTGATTAAATAGTTTTTTCCCCCTCATCAATCTACACACAATACCCCATAATGACAAAGCAAAAACTGGTTGTAATTTTACAAATAAAAATCTGAAATATCACATTTACATAAGTATTCAGACCCTTTACTCAGTACTTTGTTGAAGCACCTTTGGCAGCGATTACAGCCTCGAGTCTTCTTTGGGTATGACGCTACAAGCTTGGCACACCTGTATTTGGGGAGTTTCTCCCATTCTTCTCTGCAGGCCCTCTCAAGCTCTGTCAGGTTGGATGCACAGCTATTTTCAGGTCTCTCCAGAGATGTTCGATTGGCTTCAAGTCCGGGCTCTGGCTGGGCCACTAAAAGAAATTCAGAGACTTGTCCCGAAGCCACTCCTAAATTGTCTTGGCTGTGTGCTTAGAGTCGTTGTCCTGTTGGAAGGTGAAGTCCCCAGTCTGAGGTCCTGAGCGCTCTGGAGCAGGTTTTCATCAAGGATCTCTCTGTACTTTGCTCCATTCATCTTTCCATCAATCCTGACTAGTCTACCAGTCCCTGCTGCTGAAAGACATCCCCACAGCATGATGCTGCCACCAACATGCTTCATCGTAGGGATGGTGCCATGTTTCCTCCAGACATGACGCTTGGCATTCAGGCCAAAGAGTTCAATCTTGGTTTCATCAGACCAGAGAATCTTGTTTCTCATGGTCTGAGAGTCCTTCAGGTGCCTTTTGGCAAACTCCAAGCGGCCTGATTGGTGGAGTGCTGCAGAGATGGTTGTCCTTCTGGAAGGTTCTCCCATCTCCACAGAGGAACTCTGGAGCTCTGTCAGAGTGACCATCGGGTTCTTGGTCACCTCCCTGACCAAGACCCTTCTCCCCCGATTTCTCAGTTTGGCCGGGCGGCCAGCTCTAGGAAGAGTCTTGGTGGTTCCAAACTTCTTCCATTTAAGAATGATGGAGGCCACTGTGTTCTTGTGGACCTTCAATGCTGCAGACATTTTTTGGTACCCTTCCCCAGATCTGTGCCTCGACACAATCCTGTCTCGGAGCTCTACGGTCAATTTCTTCGACCTCATGGCTTGGTTTTTGCTCTGACATGCACTGTCAACTGTGGGACCTTATGTAGACAGGTGTGTGCCTTTCCAAATAATGTCCAATTAATTGAATTTAACACAGGTGGACTCCAATCAAGTTGTAGAAACATCTCAAGGATGATACATTTAAACCGGATGCACCTGAGCTTAATTTCGAGTCTCATAGCAAAGGGTATGAACACTTATGTAAATAAGGTATTTCTGTTTTTTATTTGTAATACTTTTGCAAACATTTCTGAAAACCCTGTTTTCGCTTTGTCATTATGGGGTATTGTGTGTAGATTGATGAGGAATTGTTTTTATTCAGTCCATTTTAGAATAAGGCTGTAACGTAACAAAATGTGGAAGAAGTCAAGGTGTCTGAATACTTTCCGAATGCGCTCTAAATTGCACAAGAATGATATTAATTAATTAATGATTTTAAGGTATTGTTTTCACTTTATTAAATCCGCCCGCAACTTGGGGTGGTGCTACCAAAGATGGTGGATTATAAAGATGACACAAAAAGGCCTTTTACCATTGAAAGAAATTGGCACAGTTCCAGTCTACTTAAGGGGTGGCTCTTCCATAAGCACCAATGCGATAGCAGCTTGGTCTGGTCTACTTAGTTAATTGACTGTATATGAACAAGAAAAAAAGGAGCCTATGAAATGTCTCGCTTTCTCTATGGTCTCTGGTGCAACTCTGCTATTTAGCACTATGAGCTAGCCTAGAGTATCTACTTGTTGTAGTCATCTATTCTCATTCTCTGATGTAACAAGTCTTTCTTTATTGTAAATGCAGTTATTTATGACAAATTGATACTTTGGTTTTTACTGAGGACCAATGTTGCAGTATATACTGTATACCAATAGTGTGAACATTTATGTTAATATAGTTTCCCAAGCTTTTAATGTCTAAAAATAATTATGTCACTTAAAGGCAGGGCTGGACAGTTATTTTACTCCTCGGATTACTGATGAAACTAACAGTTGGCTGCTCCCTGAGGCTCCTCCCACAATCCACACTGGACCCCGGGTCCCTCAGTCGGAACACGTTATTGAACAATCGGAGGGTCTCTTTCCTCACGGACGCCGACAACATGAAGTACATCACAGGGTCCAGGCAACTGTTGAAGGCAGAGAGTAGCAACACCACTTCATTGGCTTTGTCGACCACGCCCCTCCAGAAGCAGGAAGTGTCGCTGATCTGGGAGACGACGTAGAACACCCGGACCATGTGATAGGGGACGAAGCAGACGATAAACAGGAAGAGGACAAAGAAGGACTTCTTGGCGGTGCGGGTATAGCGGGCCGCGTTGGGGAAGTCTGGTTTCTCTCTCGATAGCCTCAGCAGCTTGATGCCGATTTTCCCATAAGACACCACGAGGCAGACGAACACGAGCCAGAATGCGGCAACCAGGAAGAGGTTGAAGTAGGCCTTCCCCTTCGCACGTTGACGCTGTTTATACTGGAAACATCTGGGGCATTCGTAGAAAATAAAATGGCTATTAGTATAATTGTTCAAAATGTGGGACCTACTGAAATAAAGAATATCAACAAAGTTTACCTAGAGAAATAAGGATTACATTTTTTAAACATGAAAAATTAAACCCACTTGTCAGACTCCTCGTTGCCCTCAGAGAGGAGGATCATGGGTATGACGGAGGCGAGGGCCAGGACCCAGATCATCCCACAGATGGCGGGGCTCCATCTGGTGGCCTTGATGCGGTACTGGCCCCCGGCACCACGCTGGATCTTCAGATAGCGATCCACACTGATCAACCCTAATAAGGTGATACTGATGTACATGTTCATATAGAAGAGGTTCCCCACTACCTTACAGAGGGTGGGGCCCAGGTCCCAGCGGTTCCCTTTACTGTGGTACAGCACTCTGAATGGAAGACAGATGACCAGTAGCAGGTCGGCTAAAGCTACGTTGATGAGGAACACTCTGACAGGTTTCTTCTTGGAGTGGACGTATAGAAAGACCCAGAGAGCCAGGATGTTGCCGGCCAGGCCCAAGACGAAGAGGACTGAGTAAAGGACGGCTAGAGGGATCCGGAGGGAGCTGTCATCAAGGTGACAGTGTTCCCTGGGGTCAGGGATTGTGGGCAAGAGGGTCGTGAAGGTTGTCTCCGTGGCGACGAGTGGGTGGGAGGAGTTGGAAAAGGGAAAGGCAGTGACGTTGGCGGGGAAGATGTTCGCCATGACGTCAGTTTCACTCTTCAGTTCTCAGTCCTGCGTAGGGGACAAAGTGAAGAAAAAGAAAGTTTCAGCCAGAAACGTTGTCTACTTCCTTAAATCAACCAAAAGTCAGCATGACTGGGGGTTTTGGCTAGGCGAGTGGGAGAAAGGAAAGCAGTTGTGTTTTGTTGTAACTCGATAGATTCAGGATTAAGTTAATGTGTTTCTTGATTCTTCCAGATAGTTCTCTTGGGAAAGTTCTTCGCTCTTATTAGTGCTGGTCTGTTTTGATGGCAGGAGGCCAAACTGGACGATTTAGGTCCAGATCAGCACCTAATCCACTAATCATAAATGATACATCACTCAGGCACTGAGCACACACTGCCCAGCTGCCTGACCACCACTGAATACACCACCGGGCCTATAGTGGAACATGAGGGAAATAACATCGATTTTTACTTGAATTCTCAAGTGGCTAATTTAGGTAAAACAGTAATTCTGCTCATAATTTAAATTATGCATGTATGAACTACACATCAAGCCCAAAGCGGGAGGTTTAAAAAATACTTAGTAGTCGCCAAAGTTCCAGAGCATGTCTTTAATTCAACAAAACTTTATCCCCTTGCAAAATACTTCAGAGGCCCGCCAGTTAACCCTTGAAATGGTTGGAAAATGTTACGGGTGGTATTTTGTAGCAGTGTAATTCCATCACTCTGGGCTCTATCCAGTTAAAGGAAAGAACTTGCTCTTTGCACTGTGAGAATGTCATTTGGAATTGATGTAATCAAAGAAACAATGAGGTCGGTTTGAAATAAGAAAGGCAACACAATCTCTCACAGCACATAAAGAAGGTGATTTTTTTAATCTGGCAACAGCTTGTCATTCAATACACACAGTACTCACCCTGTGAATTGTGTCCATTTGAGAGGTTGTTTCTCTTCTCTCTATGTGAATGTGCTTGTGTGGCAGTAGATCTCTCTCACTTTCTCTCTATCTCAGAGATTAGTAGTTCTGTTTTCTTTTCTTAATCCAGTCTGTTTTTTCTTAATCCAGTCTGTTTTTTCTTAATCCAGTCTGTTTTTTCTTAATCCAGTCTGTTTTTTATTAATCCAGTCTGTTTTTTCTTAATCCAGTCTGTCTTTTCTTAATCCAGTCTGTCTTTTCTTAATCCAGTCTGTTTTGCTCTAGCTATTTCTCCCTCTTTCTTAGAAAATTGGAGCTGCTCTAAATAGATGGCTGTAGTCGAAGGTTCCAGTTCTTTAGGTTCTCTTCTTTAGAACCCACGGTATCTGCTGTTCTCCCACTCTCTCTTTCCTCTCCTCTGCTTTGCCTCCAGCTATTAACAGCCTTCAGCTGTGCTCTAGTCTCGAAAGCTGTAAAACGTTGAAGTGCCAAATCTGATGAAGGGGGGTTAAGGCCCAGCCCACTGCTGATTACACATGCTAGAGCAACCACCAAGAACACAGACCACCAATATACACTAATTATATAGCATACCTAAAGTACGTATGTTAGTTATATAGAACAGCGATTGCAGATCTTTTTTGTGCTACAGCCTTTCAAAACAATGTTTCTGTAGCCACTATGGTTCAAGCATCAGCCCAGTTTTAATCTACCACCCAGGAGAACTAGCTGTGACCTAACCCTTGGTCCAACCCACCATTTTGAGAAAAACTTTTAAAAAACTAGTACTAAATGGAGACAAAAGTAACTCTGTGTCTGTGTTGAAAATGAGACAGGAGTTTGTGTTGCGTTGTCCTTGCATGAGAATATTACTAAACTGTGGTATGGTGGCGTCGTGTGCAACTCTTGGTAACAGATTGACACGTATGTGTGGGCGCTTCATTGGAGCGAATCTTCAAACAGCTGGTAGTGAAAGCATCACTGTCTTTGATGTATAGGTTTTCTGTAATGAAGTTTTAATGGCTGTAGCCCTAACTAGGGCTGTGGCGGTCAAGACATTTAGTCAGCCGGTGATTGTCATTTAAATTACTTCTGGTCTCACGGTAATTGACCGACCGTTAATTAACATAAACACATTTTGCATCTCTTAGCTTCCACGTGTGGCATACAAGCCACTGATGCTGACCTTTGGAACATCTACATTTAAAAAAGTCTAATAAATCCATTTAATATAGCCTACACCATCGTTATTTTAGACAGGTCTAAAGAAACATGATATTAAGAAAATGTAGTCTACTTCAGAACGACAGAATAGCATACTCTGAGTTGTCCTTATGTTAGGTACTGATCTGGCTATGCCATATGGCTGTGGGCTACACTAGTTCATTTAGCAGACAAGATTTGCTTAGAATTCTGTGGCATATTTTTTTATACTATGAAGAATACAATTGAACATAGCTGAATAAAATAGAAAGGATATTTTCCCCAAATGTTTTCAGAGGGAGTGCGCACATGCGGCTATTCTTTGTTGAGCGGTTAACAAAGTTCAGTTCCTCCTATATGCTTAATTTAGAGTTATTTATGCAACTGTAGTTGTGGTACAAATGTTAGGTTATGCAGTGCATTCGGAAAGTATTCAGACCCCTTGATTTTTACCAGATTTTGTAACGTTACAGACTTATTCTAAAATGTATTAAATTGGGGTTTTTTCCCTCATCAATACACAATACCCCATAATGACAGAGCAAAAACAGTTTTTTCGGTCTACCAGTAGGTCTCTCCAGAGATGTTCGATCGGGTTCAAGTTCGGGCCCTGGCTGGGCCACTCAACGACATTCAGAGACTTGCCCCGAAGCCACTCCTGCGTTGTCTTGGCTGTGTGCTTAGAGTCGTTGTCCTGTTGGAAGGTGAACCGTTGCCCCAGTCTGAGGTCCTGAGCGCTCTGGAGCAGGTTTTCATCAAGGATCTCTCTGCACTTTGCTCCGTTCATCTTTCCCTCGATCCTGACTAGTCTCCCAGTCCCTGCAGCTGAAAAACATCCCCACAGCATGATGCTGACACCACCATGCTTCACTGTAGGGATGGTGCCAGGTTTCCTCCAGATGTGACGCTTGGCATTCAGGCCAAAGTTCAATCTTGGTTTCATCAGACCAGAGAATCTTGTTTCTCATGGTCTGAGAGTCCTTTAGGTGCCTTTTGGCAAACTCCAAGCGAGCTGTCATGTGCCTTTTACTGAGGAGTGACTTCCATCTGGCCACTCTACCATAAAGGCCTGATAGGTGGAGTGCTGCAGAGATGGTTGTCCTTCTGGAAGGTTCTCCCATCTCCACAGAGGAACTCTGGAGCTCTGTCAGAGTGACCATCAGGTTCTTGGTCACCTCCCTGACCAAGACCCTTCTCCCCCGATTGCTCAGTTTGGCCGGGCAGCCAGCTCTAGGAAGAGTCTTGGTGGTTCCAAACTTCTTCCATTTAAGAATGATGGAGGCCACTGTGTTCTTGGGGACCTTTAATGCTACAGACATTTTTTGGTACCCTTCCCCAGATCTGTGCCTCGACACAATCCTGTCTCGGAGCTCTACGGACAATTCCTTCGACCTCATGACTTGGTTTTTGCTCTGACATGCACTGTCAGCTGTGGGACCTTAACATTTCTGAAACCTGTTTTCACTTTGTCATTATAGGGTATTGTGCGTAGATTGATGAGGATTTGTATTTATTGAATCAATTTTAGAATAAGGCTGTAACATAACAAAATGTGGAAAAAGGGAAGGGGTCTGAATACTTTCTGAAGGCACTGTATATTATACTAGCTACTGTATTCAATAAAATAAATTATACATGTTCTCTCTTTCTCTCTCTCTCGCTCTCTCACTCTCTCCCCCTCCTCCAGCCCCACTGTGTCCTCCTAGCGTCTAAAGAAAACAGTGCTCCAGTGAAGCTGGGAGGGTTCGGCGTGGCCATCCAACTGGGAGAGTCAGGACTGGTGGCTGGAGGTACGCAATGCAATGCATGCTGGGAATGTTCCTGCACGTCACTCAGATGTTTGCAAATCTGATTTGGGACTGGCTGTCAGGCTCTGTCCAAGATCCACACTAGCATACCACATGGAATGAAGAATAATGTACTGGCCATGTCTTCTAAATTGTATGCTAGTGTGGATATTGGAAAAGAGGCTATATCGTATTTACAGTGGCTTGCGAAAGTATTCACCCCCCTTCGCATTATTCCTATTTTCTTGCCTTACAATCTGGAATTAAAACTGATTTTTTGGGGGGTTTGTATCATTTAATTTACACAACATGCCTACCACTTTGAAGATGCAAAATATTTTTTCTTGTGAAATAAACAAGAAATATTTTTTTTAAAAATAAAGAAAATTTGAGCGTGCATAACTATTCACCCCCCCCCCCCCCCCCCCCCCCAAAGTCAATACATTGTAGAGCCACCTTTTGCAGCAATTACAGCTGCAAGTCTCTTGCGGTATGTCTCTATAAGCTTGGCACATCTAGCCACTGGGATTTTTGCCCATTCTTCAAGGCAAAACTGCTCCAGCTCCTTCAAGTTGGATGGGTTCCGCTGGTGTACAGCAATCTTTAAGTCTTTAAGTCATACCACAGATTCTCAATTGGATTGAGGTCTGGGCTTTGACTAGGCCATTCCAAGACATTTAAAACCACTCGAGTGTTGCTTTAGCAGTATGTTTAGGGTCATTGTCCTGCTGGAAGGTGAACCTCCGTCCCAGTCTCAAATCTCTGGAAGACTGAAAGGTTTCCCTCAAGAATTTCCCTGTATTTAGCGCCATCCATCATTCCTACAATTCTGACCAGTTTCCCAGTCCCTGCCGATGAAAAACATCCCCACAGCATGATGCTGCCACCACCATGCTTCACTGTGGGGATGGTGTTCTCGGGGTGATGAGACGTGGTGGGTTTGCATCAGACATAGCGTTTTCCTTGATGGCCAAAAAGCTCAATGTTAGTCTAGTCTGACCAGAGTACCTTCTTCCATATGTTTGGGGAGTCTCCCACATGCCTTTCGGCGAACACCAAACGTGTTTTCTTATTTCTTTTTTTAAGCAATGGCTTTTTTTCTGGCCACTCTTCCATAAAGCCCAGCTCTGTGGAGTGTATGGTCTTAAAGTGGTCCTATGGACAGATACTCCAATCTCCGCTGTGGAGCTTTGCAGCTCTTTCAGGGTTATCTTTGGTCTCTTTGTTGCCTCTCTGATTAATGCCCTCCTTGCCTGGTCCGTGAGTTTTGGTGGGCGGCCCTCTCTTGGCAGGTTTGTTGTGGTGCCATATTCTTTCAATTTTTTAATAATGGATTTAATGGTGCTCTGTGGGATGTTCAAAGTTTCAGATATTTTTTTATAACCCAACCCTGATCTGTACTTCTCCACAACTTTGTCCCTGACCTGTTTGGAGAGATCCTTGGTCTTCATGGTGCCACTTGCTTGGTGGTGCCCCTTGCTTAGTGGTGTTGCAGACGCTGGGGCCTTTCAGAACAGGTGTATATACAGTGAGGGAAATAAGTATTTGATCCCCTACTGATTTTGTACATTTGCCCACTGACAAAGCAATGATCAGTCTATAATTTTAATGGTAGGTTTATTTGAACAGTGATAGACAGAATAACAACAAAAAAATCCAGAAAAAACGCATGTCAAAAATGTTATATATTGATTTGCATTTTAATGAAGGGAAATAAGTATTTGACCCCCTCTCAATCAGAAAGATTTCTGGCTCCCAGGTGTCTTTTATGCAGGTAACGAGCTTAGATTAGGAGCACACTCTTAAAGGGAGTGCTCCTAATCTCAGCTTGTTACCTGTATAAAATACACCTGTCCACAGAAGCAATCAATCAATCAGATTCCAAACTCTCCACCATGGCCAAGACCAAAGAGCTCTCCAAGGATGTCAGGGACAAGATTGTAGACCTACACAAGGCTGGAATGGGATACAAGACCATCGCCAAGCAGCTTGGTGAGAAGGTCCTCTGTAGCTCAGCTGGTAGAGCACGGCGCTTGTAACGCCAAGGTAGTGGGTTCGATCCCCGGGACCATACACCAAAAAAATATGAAAATGTATGCACGCATGACTGTAAGTCGCTTTGGATAAAAGTGTCTGCTAAATGGCATATTATCTTTGTTATATTAAGGTGACAACAGTTGGTGCGATTATTCGCAAATGGAAGAAACACAAAATAACTGTCAATCTCCCTCGGCCTGGGGCTCCATGCAAGATCTCACCTCGTGGAGTTGCAATGATCATGAGAACGGTGAGGAATCAGCCCAGAACTACACGGGAGGATCTTGTCAATGATCTCAAGGCAGCTGGGACCATAGTCACCAAGAAAACAATTGGTAACACACTACGCCGTGAAGGACTGAAATCCTGCAGCGCCTGCAAGGTCCCCCTGCTCAAGAAAGCACATATACAGGGCCGTCTGAAGTTTGACAATGAACATCTGAATGATTCAGAGGAGAACTGGGTGAAAGTGTTGTGGTCAGATGAGACCAAAATCGAGCTCTTTGGCATCAACTCAACTCGCCGTGTTTGGAGGAGGAGGAATGCTGCCTATGACCCAAAGAACACCATCCCCACCGTCATACATGGAGGTGGAAACATTATGCTTTGGGGGTGTTTTTCTGCTAAGGGGACAGGACAACTTCACCGCATCAAAGGGACAATGGACGGGGCCATGTACCGTCAAATATTGGGTGAGAACCTCCTTCCCTCAGCCAGGGCATTGAAAATGGGTCATGGATGGGTATTCCAGCATGACAATGACCCAAAACACACGGCCAAGGCAACAAAGGAGTGGCTCAAGAAGAAGCACATTAAGGTCCTGGAGTGGCCTAGCCAGTCTCCAGACCTTAATCCCATAGAAAATCTGTGGAGGGAGCTGAAGGTTCGAGTTGCCAAACGTCAGCCTCGAAACCTTAATGACTTGGAGAAGATCTGCAAAGAGGAGTGGAACAAAATCCCTCCTGAGATGTGTGTAAACCTGCTGGCCAACTACAAGAAACGTCTGACCTCTGTGATTGCCAACAAGGGTTTTGCCACCAAGTACTAAGTCATGTTTTGCAGAGGGGTCAAATACTTATTTCCCTAATTAAAATGCAAATCAATTTATAAAATGTTTGACATACGTTTTTCTGGATTTTGTTGTTGTTATTCTGTCTCTCACTGTTCAAATAAACCTACCATTAAAATTATAGACTGATCATGTCTTTGTCAGTGGGCAAACGTACAAAATCAGGAGGGGATCAAATACTTTTTTTCCTCACTGTATACTGAGATCATGTGACAGATCATGTGACACTTAGATTGCACACAGGTGGACTTTATTTAACTAATTATGTGACTTCTGAAGGTAATTGGTTACACCAGATCTTATTTAGGGGCTTCATAGCAAAGGGGGTGAATACATATGCACGCACCACTTTTCCGTTATTTATTTTTTAGAATTTTTTGAAACAAGTTATTTTTTTCATTTCACTTCACCAATTTGGACTATTTTGTGTATGTCCATTGCAAGAAATCCAAAAAAAAATCCATTTAAATTATAGATTGTAATGCAACAAAATAGGAAAAACGTCAAGGGGGATGAATACTTTTGCAAAGCACTGTACAGATGTAGGATCTTAGTTGGATCACCCTTGGCATTTTTCCTATTTTGTTGCATTACAACCTGTAGTTTAAATTGATTCTTATTTGGATTTCATGTAATGGACATACACAAAATAGTCCAAACTTTCGTGCAATGCAGGAAATTTAAACTTGTTGTGTATTTGAGGTTTGAAAAGGCTTAAGTTTATAATTTCCACTTTGAAATTTCAGACTTGATTTTCCCTTATAAAAAATGTACCAACCCCTACAAAAATGTCCATGAATTACAATCCACTTAATAATTTACATTTCCTGTTGCTTATCACGGATTCCGCCGAGGCTGCTCCTCCTCCTTGTTCGGGCAGGCTTCGGCGTTCGTCGTCCCCGGAGTACTAGCTGCTACCGTTTGATGTTATCTATGTTTGTTTGGTTTTGTCTGATTAGTGCACCTGTTCTATATCACGTATTGATTATGTCACCTATAAGTTTCCTTTGGTTTTGTTTGTAGTTGTGTGTTGTTGTCCGCCTGTCCGTTGGTGATGTGCATTTGCTCTCGTATATTTAGAGTATTGACGCACTGTATGCGTAATCTCTTGTATTTTGTGTATATACGCACAGTATGCGTAATCGCTCGCCTCCGTTGTGTTGAGGCCCGTTATTTTGTATTGTCGTGTTCTTACAAGTAAAGTCTGTTGGACTAAGCTTCTGTGTCCTGCGCCTGACTCCAACACCACATCCACATCAGCCCTTGACAGAACAACACACCATTCAATGGAGTCAGCAGGAGCAGCGGCGGCGACCGAGTCGCTGGAGGATCGGGTCAGCTGCCAGGAGGCCATGATCCAGCAACTCGGCTCCGCCATGCAGGAGGCAATGAACACCCTGCGCCGATGGGAAAGGGCAGGCGTGCCCACACCTCCTCCTACATTACCACCACCATCGGCCAGCCCCACCAGCCCAGCTCCGGAATCCAGTGGGATTCGGCTCTCGCTCCCGAGGGCGTATGATGGCACCGCAGCCGGGTGTCAGGGGTTCCTCCTTCAGGTGGAACTCTACCTGGCCACCATACACCCGGCGCCCTCGGGATACGTGAGCGTTTCCGCCCTCATCTCCTGTCTCTCCGGCAAGGCGTTGGAGTGGGCCAACGCCGAATGGAGGGGAATAGACGCCGCCACCACCAGCTACGCGGAGTTCTCCCGCCGCTTCAGGGCAGTTTTCGATCACCCTCCTGAGGGTAAAGCGGCGGGGGAGCGTCTGTTCCACTTCCGACAGGGGAAGAGGAGCGCACAGGAGTTCGCCCTGGATTTCCGGACTCTAGCGGCGGATGCGGGGTGGAATGAGAGGGCCCTCATCGATCACTATCGGTGTAGCCTGCGTGAGGACGTTCGTCGAGAGCTGGCCTGCAGGGACACCAATCTGTCCTTTGACCAGCTAGTGGACATGTCCATCCGACTGGATACCCTGCTGGCCACCCGCGGACGTCCCGAGATGGGGCCGTCCATTCCATCCCCCAGCACCTCCGAGCCGAGCCCAATGGAGCTCGGGGGTGCTGGCACTAGAGAAAGAAGGAGAGAGAACCCGAGGGGGGCCGTCCCCTGCACCAGCTGTGGCCGTGGAGGACACACTGCGGCTAGGTGCTGGGGAGGGTCTCCAAGGAATCGAGGCAACAGGTCGCGCACTGGGGAGTCATTTCAGGTGAGTAGGCGCCCCACTCACCCAGAGCTCTCTGTTGTTCACTTGTGTATACCTGTGGTATTTCCTCAGGTTGCATCTCAGTCCCAGCATAAGGCGCTAGTCGATTCAGGCGCAGCTGGGAATTTTATTGATCGGAAATGTTGCTCTAAGTTAGGGATTCCCCTCCTGCCCGTTGATGCACCCTTTCCTGTCCATGCCCTAGATAGCCGCCCGTTGGGATCTGGGTTGATTAGGGAGGTCACAGCGCCACTAAAGATGAAGACGCAGGGGGGTCATGAGGAGATTATTCAGTTGTACCTCATTGACTCTCCTGCGTATCCCGTGGTGCTGGGGCTTCCTTGGTTAATCACCCATGACCCCACCATTTCGTGGCAACCGAGGGCTCTCAAGGAATGGTCTGGCCAGTGTGTTGGGCGATGTTTAGGTGTTTCCGTTGGGGCGACCACGGTGGAGAGTCCGAACCAAGTGCCCGCAATGCACATTCCCCCTGAGTATGAGGATTTGGCACTCGTGTTCAGCAAGACGAGGGCGACGCGATTGCCACCTCATAGACAGGGAGATTGTGCGATAAACCTCCAGACAGGTGCGGCACTTCCGCGGAGCCATGTGTATCCTCTGTCTCAAGAGGAGACGGCGGCTATGGAAACCTACATAGCTGAGTCCCTGAGACAAGGATACATACGGCCCTCCACTTCCCCTGCGTCCTCGAGTTTCTTTTTTGTGAAGAAGAAGGATGGAGGTTTGCGCCCGTGTATTGATTATCGTAGTCTCAATCAGATCACTGTGAAATACAGTTACCCGAGTATGACTGAATCATTACGCGGAGCGCGTTTCTTCACAAAACTGGATCTCAGGAGCGCTTATAACTTGGTGCGCATTAGGGAGGGAGATGAATGGAAGACGGCATTTAGTACCACCTCAGGTCATTATGAGTATCTTGTCATGCCATACGGGTTAATGAATGCTCCTTCAGTCTTCCAATCATTTGTAGACGAGATCTTCCGGGACTTGCATGGGCAGGGAGTGGTAGTGTACATTGACGACATCCTAGTGTACTCTGCTACACGAACCGAGCATGTAGCCCTGGTGCGCCGAGTGTTGGGTAGGCTGTTGGAGCATGACTTGTATGTCAAGGCAGAGAAATGTCTGTTTTTCCAGGAGTCCATCTCCTTCTTGGGTCATCGGTTGTCCGCGTCAGGGGTGAAAATGGAGATTGACCGGGTGTCAGCCGTGCGTAACTGGCAAACCCCAACCACTGTTAAAGAGGTGCAGCAGTTTTTGGGTTTTGCCAATTACTACCGGAGGTTTATCCGGGGTTTTGGACAGGTGGCAGCTCCCATTACGTCCCTGCTGAAGGGGGGCCCGGTGCGTTTGCAGTGGTCGGCTGAAGCGGACAGGGCGTTTCGTAAACTTAAGGACCTGTTCACTTCGGCTCCGGTGCTGGCACACCCGGACCCCACTTTAGCGTTCCAGGTAGAGGTGGACGCGTCAGAGGCCGGTATTGGGGCAGTACTGTCGCAACGCTCCGGCACGCCTCCTAAGCTCCGTCCCTGCGATTTTTATTCTAAAAAGCTCAGCCCGGCGGAGCGTAATTATGACGTAGGGGACAGGGAGCTGTTAGCCGTGGTTCAAGCTCTAAAGGTGTGGAGGCATTGGCTTGAGGGGGCTCAACACCCTTTTCTCATTCTGACTGACCATCGTAACCTGGAGTACATCCGGGCAGCGAGGAGATTGAACCCTCGTCAGGCTAGGTGGAACATGTTCCTGACCCGGTTCGTTTTTAAGATCACTTACATCCCAGGGTCCCAGAACGGTAAGGCAGACGCCCTGTCCCGGCGGTATGACACAGAGGAGAGGTCCATTGAGCCCACTCCCATACTGCCAGAGTCTTGTCTGGTGGCACCGGTGGTATGGGAGGTCGATGCGGAAATTGAGCGGGCGTTACGCACCGACCCTACTCCCCTAGAGTGTCCAGTGGGTCGGACGTACGTGCCGCTCGAGGTCCGTGATCGTCTCATCTATTGGGCTCATACGTCACCCTCCTCTGGACATCCAGGTATTGGCCGGACAGTGCACTGCCTTAGTGTTAAGTACTGGTGGCCAACATTGGCTAGGGACGTGAGGGTTTATGTCTCCTCCTGCTCGGTGTGTGCGCAGTGTAAGGCGCCTAGACACCTGCCCAGGGGGAAGTTACAACCCCTGCCCGTTCCACAACGGCCGTGGTCTCACCTCTCGGTGGACTTTGTCACAGACCTTCCCCCCTCTCAGGGGAATACCACTATTCTGGTCGTTGTGGATCGGTTCTCTAAGGCCTGTCGTCTCATTCCAATGCCGGGTCTCCCTACTGCCCTACAGACCGCTGAGGCCTTGTTCACCCTGGTCTTCCGGCACTACAGGGTTCCCGAGGATATAGTGTCTGATCGGGGTCCCCAATTCACCTCTAGAGTCTGGAGGGCGTTCATGGAACGCTTGGGGGTCTCGGTTAGCCTTACCTCGGGTTACCACCCGGAGAGTAATGGGCAGGTGGAGAGAGTGAACCAGGATGTGGGTAGGTTTCTGAGATCCTATTGCCAGGGCCGGCCAGAGGAGTGGTCGGGGTATATCCCCTGGGCAGAGATGGCTCAGAACTCTCTCCGCCACTCCTCTACTAACCTGACCCCCTTTCAGTGTGTGTTAGGTTATCAGCCGGTTCTGGCACCATGGCATCAGAGCCAGATCGAGGCTCCGGCGGTGGATGAGTGGTTTCGGCGCTCGGAGGAGACGTGGAACGCTTCCCACATACATCTGCAGCGGGCCATCCGCAGGCAGAAGGCGAGCGCCGACCACCACCGCAGTGAGGGTCCAGTCTACGCCCCTGGAGATCGAGTCTGGCTCTCGACTCGAAACCTGCCCCTTCGCCTGCCCTGCCGGAAGCTTGGCCGGCGGTTTGTGGGGCCATTTAAAGTCCTGAGGAGATTGAATGAGGTGTGTTACAGGTTGCAACTGCCTAATGACTATCACATTAACCCCTCATTCCATGTGTCTCTCCTCAGGCCGGTGGTAGCTGGTCCACTCCAGGAGAATGAGATAAGAGAGACCCCTCCGCCCCCACTGGACATCGAGGGGGCTCCGGCGTACTCAGTCCGGTCCATCGTGGATTCGAGACGTCAGATGGGGGGTCTACAATATCTCGTGGAGTGGGAGGGGTACGGTCCGGAGGAACGGTGCTGGGTGCCTAGGAGGGACATTCTAGATCCATCCCTCCTGACTGAGTTCCATCGTAGTCATCCTACGCACCCTGCTCCACGTCCTCCTGGCCGTCCCCGAGGCCGGGGTCGGCACACGGCTGGGGCCGCGCGTCAAGGGGGGGGGTACTGTCACGGATTCTGCCGAGGCTGCTCCTCCTCCTTGTTCGGGCAGGCTTCGGCGTTCGTCGTCCCCGGAGTACTAGCTGCTACCGTTTGATGTTATCTATGTTTGTTTGGTTTTGTCTGATTAGTGCACCTGTTCTATATCACGTATTGATTATGTCACCTATAAGTTTCCTTTGGTTTTGTTTGTAGTTGTGTGTTGTTGTCCGCCTGTCCGTTGGTGATGTGCATTTGCTCTCGTATATTTAGAGTATTGACGCACTGTATGCGTAATCTCTTGTATTTTGTGTATATACGCACAGTATGCGTAATCGCTCGCCTCCGTTGTGTTGAGGCCCGTTATTTTGTATTGTCGTGTTCTTACAAGTAAAGTCTGTTGGACTAAGCTTCTGTGTCCTGCGCCTGACTCCAACACCACATCCACATCAGCCCTTGACATTGCTGCAGGATTATTTTCCTGCTGTAGAAAACTGGCTCAAGATCCCACACCTGTATGTTCCAATATCCACACTAGTATACCATTTAGATTGCATGGCCAGTTGTTTTGCTAGTGTGGAACATAGCATCTCACTTCTCGCTCTGCTTTCTCACAAACAGGAAGGATACAACTTCTATCTATGTAATCTGTACTTGCAAACTTGTACTTTTCATATTTTTTCTGCTGTTTATACAAACATTTCAGACATAGGACAGAGATAATCTAGGCCTTCATGGGTTTATTAATAATACAACCAAATAAATGGGAAATATTGACCCCATCTAATCGGACAAACTTTGGCTTTGGGGTGAACTATCTCTTCAATGTCCTTGCCACATGTACACTACCAGATGTATGAATGAATTGTTAGGTTAACATCACCTTTAAATTAGTGTTTTAAACAGCAGCCAAGATAAACATACAGTCGTGGTCAAAAGTTTTGAGAATGACACAAATACTAATTTTTACAAATTCTGCTGCCTCAGTTTTGATGATGGCAATTTGCATATACTCCAGAATGTCATGAAGAGTGATCAGATGAATTGCAATTAATTGCAAAGTCCCTCTTTGCCATGAAAATGAACTTAATCCCCAAAAAACATGTCCACTGCATTTCAGACCTGCCACAAAAGGACCAGCTGCCATTATGTCAGTGATTCTCGTGTTAACACAGGTGAGAGTGTTGACGAGGACAAGGCTGGAGATCACTCTGTCATGCTGATTGAGTTAGAATAACAGACTGGAAGCTTTAAAAGGAGGGTGGTGCTTGAAATCATTGTTCTTCCTGTGTTAACCATGGTTACCTGCAAGGAACACGTGCCGTCATCATTGCTTTGCACAAAAAGGGCTTCACAGGCAAGGATATTGCTGCTAGTAAGATTGCACCTAAATCAACCATTTATCGGATCATCAAGAACTTCAAGGAGAGAGGTTCAATTGTTGTGAAGAAGGCGTCAGGGTGCCCAAAAAAGTCCAGCAAGCGCCAAGACCGTCTCCTAAAGTTGATTCAGCTGCTGGATCAGGGCACCACCAGTGCAGAGCTTGCTCAGGAATGGCAGCAGGCAGATGTGAGTGCATCTGCATGCACAGTGAGGCGAATACTTTTGGAGGATGGCCTGGTGTCAAGAAGGGCATCAAAGGGTACAGGGAATGGACTGCTGAGGACTGGAGTTAAGTCATTTTCTCTGATGAATACCCTTTCCGATTGTTTGGGGCATTCGGAAAACACCTTGTCCGTAGAAGACAAGGTGAGCGCTACCATCAGTCCTGTGTCATGCCAACAGTAAAGCATCCTGAGACCATTCATGTGTGGGGTTGCTTCTCAGCCAAGGGAGTGGGCTCACTCACAATTTTGCCTAAGAAAACAGTCATGAATAAAGAATGGTACCAACACATCCTCCGAGAGCAACTTCTCCCAACCATCCAAGAACAGTTTGGTGACGACCAATGCCTTTTCCAGCATGATGGAGCACCTTGCCATAAGGCAAAAGTGATAACTAAGTGGCTCGGGGAACAAAACATCTAAATTATGGGTCCATGGCCAGGAAACTCCCCAGACCTTAATCCCATTGAGAACTTGTGGTCGATCCTCAAGAGGCGGGTGGACAAACAAAAACCCATAAATTCTGACAAACTCCAAGCATTGATTATGCAAGAATGGGCTGCCATCAGTCAGGATGTGGCCCAGAAGTTAATTGACAGCATGCCAGGACAGATTGCAGAGGTCTTGAAAAAGAAGGGTGAACACTGCAAATATTGACTCTTTGCATAAACTTAATGTAATTGTCAATAAAAGCCTTTGACACTTATGGAATGCTTGTAATTATACTTCAGTATACCATAGTAACATCTGACAAAAATATCTCATAACACTGAAGCAGCGAACTTTGTGAAGACCAATACTTGTGTCATTCTCAAAACCATTCACACTGACTCATATCAATGACATATCAGCTATCAGCTTTCTTCAGACAATGGTTTGACTAGGTGACCCAATAATCCAACTTCCTCTTACTAACCATGACTCTGTTGTTCCCTTCAAGCCATAAGACTGCTGAACAATTAATCAAATGGCCACCCGGACTATTTACATTGATACCCCCCTTTGTTTTTACACTGCTGCTACTCGCTGTTTATTATCTATGCATAGTCACTTTACCCCAACCTACATGTACAAATTACCTCGACTAACCTGTACCCCGCACATTGACTCAGTACCGGTACCCCCTGTATACATCCTACTTTTTATTTTATTTTTTACTTTAGTTTATTTAGTAAATATTTTCTTAACTCTATTTCTTGAACTGCATTGTCAGTTAAGGGCTTGTAAGTAAGCATTTCACGGTAAGGTCTACATCTGTTGTATTCGGCGCATGTGACAAATAGAATGTGATTTGATTTGTTTTGATGTGTTTTAACTTGAAGGTCGCTGGTTCGAATACCCGATGTGTCCTTGAGCAAGGCACGTAACCCTAATTTGCTCCAGAGGCGCCGTACTACTATGGCTGACGCTGTGAAACACATATCCAGTGTATTTGACAATAAAACATATTCAAAACATTTAAAAAGAAAGATCCAAACATCCATACATACACACACACACTCTCTCTCTGTCAGAAGAGTAGTAGAGAGTTGTAGTAAAATATGAATATCAACAATGTTCCAGTTTCCTGGGTAGGTAGTGGCTCAAGAAGCCAGAAGAGAGAACACTTCCTCTTTCATATTCAGAAAAACTCAGAAGTGATATTCTGTTCTGCACTTTCCCTACTCTGTGTGTGTATGCACCTGTATGCTCATTTATGTAAATATACAGTATGTGTATGAATGTGTGTTTATACAGTACCAGTCCAAAGTTTGGACACATCTACTCATTCAAGAGTTTTTCTTAATTTGTACTATTTTCTACATAGTATAATAATAGTGAAGACAACAAAACTATGAAATAACACATATGGAATCATGTTGTAACCAAAAAAGTGTTAAACAAATCGAAATATATTTTATATTTGAGATTCTTCAAATAGCCACCCTTTGCCTTGATGACAGCTTTGCACACTCTTGGCATTCTCTCAACAAGCTTCACCTGGAATGCTTTTCCAACAATCTTGAAGGAGTTCCCACATATGCTGAGCACTTGTTGGCTGCTTTTCCTTCACTCTGCGGTCCGACTCATCCCAAACCATCTCAATTGGGTTGAGTTCGGGGGATTGTGTAGGCCAGGTCGTCCATTGCTCATGTTTCTTGGCCCAAGCAGGTCTCTTCTTCTTATTGGTATTTTTAGTAGTGTTTTCTTTGCAGCCATTTGACCATGAAGGCCTGATTCACACAGTCCCCTCTGAACAGTTGATGTTGAGATTTGTCTGTTACTTGAACTCTGTGAAGCATTTATTTGGGCTGCAATTTCTGAGACTGGTAACGCTAATGAACTTATCCTCTGCAGCAGAGGTAACTCTGGGTCTTCCATTCCTGTGGCGGTCCTCATGAGAGCCAGTTTAAACATAACGCTTGATGGTTTTTGCGACTGCACTTGAAGAAACTTTCAAAGTTCTTGAAATTTTCAGTGTTGACTGACCTTCGTGTCTTAAAGTAATGATGGACTGTCGTTTCTCTTTGCTTATTTGAGCTGTTCTTGCCATAGTATGGACTTGGTTTTTTACCAAATAGGGCTATCTTCTGTATAACCCCCCCCCCCCTACCTTGTCACAACACAACTGATTGGCTCAAACGCATTAAGAAGGAAATAAATTCCACAAATTAACTTTTAAGAAGGCACACCTGTTAATTGAAATGCATTCCAGGTGACTACCTCATGAAGCTGGTTGAGAGAATGCCAAGAGTGTGCAAAGCTGTCATCAAGGCAAAGGGTGCTATTTGAAGAATCTCAAACATAAAATATATTTTGATTTGTTTAACACTTTTTTGGTTACTACATGATTCCATATGTGTTATTTCATAGTTTTGATGTCTTTACTATTATTTTACAATGTAAAATTTTTTACAAAATAAAGAAAAACCATTGAATGAGTAGGTGTGTCCAAACTTTTGACTGGCAGTGTATGTCTACCCCCTCTTTATTTCTCTCTCTCCCTTCCCAGGTCGTGTAGGCACGCCCCATTTCATGGCCCCAGAGGTGGTGAAGAGGGAGCCGTATGGTAAGCCTGTAGACGTGTGGGGCTGTGGAGTCATCCTCTTCATCCTGCTGTCTGGCTGCCTGCCTTTCTACGGCACCAAGGAACGCCTGTTCGAAGCCATCTGCAGGGGCAAATACAAGGTAGTAGTTGATTTACGAAACGCCAATAACTGCTCTGTGTGTCTATGGTAGTATTATCCTTACCCTGAAAGCATCCATGTGTGCTTTTTACTCTGTGTGTGTGTGTGTGTGTGTGTCTCCAGTTGAACCCAAGGCAGTGGGGACATATCTCAGAGAGTGCTAAGGACCTGGTGAGACGGATGCTCATGCTGGACCCTGCAGAGAGAATCACTGTCTACGAGGCACTCAACCACCCCTGGCTCAAGGTACAAACACACACACAAAACCCACACACACGCACAAACACACATAATGACTTCTTGGGGTAGTGAAAGGCTAGTAAAGTGAGAGTGTGTGTGTGTGTGTGTGTGTGTGTGTGTGGGTTGATCAGGAGAGAGACCGTTATGCCTATAAAATCCACCTGCTAGAGACGGTGGAACAGCTGAGGAAGTTCAACGCCAGGAGAAAGCTCAAGGTAAGCTCCCCAAATTCTACTTTCCTTTTCTAGTTGGAATTAGAATATGAGTGTTATTGTTTTGGAACGTTTGGTGCTAACATGGAGGATGATTTGTCTACCTGTCTGTCTCAGGGAGCCGTACTGGCAGCAGTCTCCAGTCACAAGTTTAACTCTTTCTACGGAGACCCACCAGAGGAGATGCCTGACTTCTCTGAAGACCCCACATCCTCAGGTAGGAGGAACACACACACACTGTCACACACACACACACACTGACACACATACACATACATAAAAAAACACACATCTACACACACCAACACACACACACACACACACACACACACACCAACACAGACACACCCATGACAACAAAGCTGTTACCACAGTGAGGTGAAAATCCAGATACACTACTATCATTCATTCAGGAAGAGGCAGACGTGCGTGTGTCTGCGTGCGTGTGTCTGCGTGCGTGTGTGTGCGTGTGCGCGTGTGTGTGTGTGTGCGTGTGGGTGCGCGTGTGTGTGTGTGCGTGCATGTGGGTGCGCGTGTGTGTGCGTGTGTGGGTCACTATCTACCACTCTGGGTTCCTGTGTTCTATGTGGTTTTGTCTTTTTCAAGGTGTTGTTTTCAGTCATAACTCTTACACATGCTTCTCAAACTTCAGTCCCGGAGAGCTACTGTACTGGGCTGGCAAGCTTTTGTTCCAGCCCATCAGTAACACACCTGATTTAAAAAATCAATAAATCATTTTCTAGACTGAAGAACATGATTAGTTGATCATTTCAATAAGGTGTGTTACTGCAGGAGTGGAGACTCTGACCTCTGACACAGTACTGCTGTTCTTTTTGTTGGATGAACAAGTCAATTCAGCATCTCAGAAATCTTTGGATAGTCTGTACTGTTTACTCAGAGAATGTTTCATGGAATGTTTTCAGGGAATGTTTTCAGGGAATGTTTCAGAGAATGTTTTCAGATAATGTTTTCAGGGAATATTTTCAGGGAATGTTTTCAGGGAATGTTTCAGGGAATGTTTTCAGGGAATGTTTCAGCCACGATTCCAGTTATTCTTTACCATTTTTGTGTCCATGTAGTCCCTATATGAGAATGAAATATAAACTGTAATGTGATTGTGTTGTTTGTGTTAATGCTGCCGTCCTGATAGGACTACTAGCAGCAGAACGTAGGTATCCCTCCTCTAGATATATACTGCTCTGTGTGTGTGTTCTGTATCTGTCTGTGTTGTCCCTAGTTCTCTAGCAGTCATCTCTTAGATAGTTCTCTAGCAGTCATCTCTTAGATAGTTCTCTAGCAGTCATCTCTTAGATAGTTCTCTAGCAGTCATCTCTTAGATAGTTCTCTAGCAGTCATCTCTTAGATAGTTCTCTAGCAGTCAACTCTTAGATAATTCTCTAGCAGTCATATCTTACATAGTTCTCTAGCAGTCAACTCTTAGATAGTTCTCTAGCAGTCATATCTTACATAGTTCTCTAGCAGTCAACTCTTAGATAGTTCTCTAGCAGTCATATCTTACATAGTTCTCTAGCAGTCAACTCTTAGATAGTTCTCTAGCAGTCATATCTTACATAGTTCTCTAGCAGTCAACTCTTAGGTAGTTCTCTAGCAGTCAACTCTTAGATAATTATCCAGCAGTCAACTCTTAGATAGTTCTCTAGCAATCATCTCTTAGATAGTTCTCTAGCAGTCAACTCTTAGATAGTTCTCTAGCAGTCAACTCTTAGATAATTCTCTAGCAGTCAACTTTTAGATAGTTCTCTAGCAGTCAACTCTTAGATAGTTCTCTAGCAGTCAACTCTTAGATAGTTCTCTAGCAGTCAACTCTTAGATAGTTCTCCAGCAGTCAACTCTTAGATAGTTCTCCAGCAGTCAACTCTTAGATAGTTCTCCAGCAGTCAACTCTTAGATAGTTCTCCAGCAGTCAACTCTTAGATAGTTATCTAGCAGTCAACTCTTAGATAGTTATCTAGCAGTCAACTCTTAGATAGTTATCTAGCAGTCAACGCTTAGATAGTTCTCCAGCAGTCAACGCTTAGCTAGTTCTCCAGCAGTCAACTCTTAGATAGTTCTCCAGCAGTCAACTCTTAGATAGTTATCTAGCAGTCAACTCTTAGATAGTTATCTAGCAGTCAACTCTTAGATAGTTCTCCAGCAGTCAACTCTTAGATAGTTCTCTAGCAATCATCTCTTAGATAGTTCTCTAGCAGTCAACTCTTAGATAGTTATCTAGCAGTCAACTCTTAGATAATTCTCTAGCAGTCAACTTTTAGATAGTTCTCTAGCAGTCAACTCTTAGATAGTTCTCTAGCAGTCAACTCTTAGATAGTTCTCTAGCAGTCAACTATTAGATTGTTCTCTAGCAGTCAACTATTAGATAGTTCTCTAGCAGTCATATCTTACATAGTTCTCTAGCAGTCAACTCTTAGATAGTTCTCTAGCAGTCATATCTTACATAGTTCTCTAGCAGTCAACTCTTAGATAGTTCTCTAGCAGTCATATCTTAGATAGTTCTCTAGCAGTCAACTCTTAGATAGTTCTCTAGCAGTCAACTCTTAGATAGTTATCTAGCAGTCAACTCTTAGATAATTCTCTAGCAGTCAACTTTTAGATAGTTCTCTAGCAGTCAACTCTTAGATAGTTCTCTAGCAGTCAACTCTTAGATAGTTCTCTAGCAGTCAACTATTAGATAGTTCTCTAGCAGTCAACTATTAGATAGTTCTCTAGCAGTCATATCTTACATAGTTCTCTAGCAGTCAACTCTTAGATAGTTCTCCAGCAGTCAACTCTTAGATAGTTCTCTAGCAATCATCTCTTAGATAGTTCTCTAGCAGTCAACTCTTAGATAGTTATCTAGCAGTCAACTCTTAGATAATTCTCTAGCAGTCAACTTTTAGATAGTTCTCTAGCAGTCAACTCTTAGATAGTTCTCTATCAGTCAACTCTTAGATAGTTCTCTAGCAGTCAACTATTAGATTGTTCTCTAGCAGTCAACTCTTAGATAATTATCTAGCAGTCAACTTTTAGATAGTTATCTAGCAGTCAACTCTTAGATAGTTCTCTAGCAGTCAACTCTTAGATAGTTCTCTAGCAGTCAACTCTTAGATAGTTCTCCAGCAGTCAACTCTTAGATAGTTCTCCAGCAGTCAACTCTTAGATAGTTCTCCAGTAGTCAACTCTTAGATAGTTCTCCAGCAGTCAACTCTTAGATAGTTATCTAGCAGTCAACTCTTAGATAGTTATCTAGCAGTCAACTCTTAGATAGTTATCTAGCAGTCAACGCTTAGATAGTTCTCCAGCAGTCAACGCTTAGATAGTTATCCAGCATTCAACGCTTAGATAGTTCTCCAGCAGTCAACTCTTAGATAGTTCTCCAGCAGTCAACTCTTAGATAGTTCTCCAGCAGTCAACTCTTAGATAGTTATCTAGCAGTCAACTCTTAGATAGTTATCTAGCAGTCAACTCTTAGATAGTTCTCCAGCAGTCAACTCTTAGATAGTTCTCTAGCAATCATCTCTTAGATAGTTCTCTAGCAGTCAACTCTTAGATAGTTATCTAGCAGTCAACTCTTAGATAATTCTCTAGCAGTCAACTTTTAGATAGTTCTCTAGCAGTCAACTCTTAGATAGTTCTCTATCAGTCAACTCTTAGATAGTTCTCTAGCAGTCAACTATTAGATAGTTCTCTAGCAGTCAACTATTAGATAGTTCTCTAGCAGTCATATCTTACATAGTTCTCTAGCAGTCAACTCTTAGATAGTTCTCTAGCAGTCATATCTTACATAGTTCTCTAGCAGTCAACTCTTAGATAGTTATCTAGCAGTCAACTCTTAGATAGTTCTCCAGCAGTCAACTCTTAGATAGTTCTCCAGTAGTCAACTCTTAGATAGTTCTCCAGCAGTCAACTCTTAGATAGTTATCTAGCAGTCAACTCTTAGATAGTTATCTAGCAGTCAACTCTTAGATAGTTATCTAGCAGTCAACGCTTAGATAGTTCTCCAGCAGTCAACGCTTAGATAGTTATCCAGCATTCAACGCTTAGATAGTTCTCCAGCAGTCAACTCTTAGATAGTTCTCCAGCAGTCAACTCTTAGATAGTTCTCCAGCAGTCAACTCTTAGATAGTTATCTAGCAGTCAACTCTTAGATAGTTCTCCAGCAGTCAACTCTTAGATAGTTCTCTAGCAATCATCTCTTAGATAGTTCTCTAGCAGTCAACTCTTAGATAGTTATCTAGCAGTCAACTCTTAGATAATTCTCTAGCAGTCAACTTTTAGATAGTTCTCTAGCAGTCAACTCTTAGATAGTTCTCTAGCAGTCAACTCTTAGATAGTTCTCTAGCAGTCAACTATTAGATAGTTCTCTAGCAGTCAACTATTAGATAGTTCTCTAGCAGTCATATCTTACATAGTTCTCTAGCAGTCAACTCTTAGATAGTTCTCTAGCAGTCATATCTTACATAGTTCTCTAGCAGTCAACTCTTAGATAGTTCTCTAGCAGTCATATCTTACATAGTTCTCTAGCAGTCAACTCTTAGATAGTTCTCTAGCAGTCAACTCTTAGATAGTTATCCAGCAGTCAACTCTTAGATAGTTCTCTAGCAATCATCTCTTAGATAGTTCTCTAGCAGTCAACTCTTAGATAGTTCTCTAGCAGTCAACTCTTAGATAATTCTCTAGCAGTCAACTTTTAGATAGTTATCTAGCAGTCAACTCTTAGATAGTTCTCTAGCAGTCAACTCTTAGATAGTTCTCTAGCAGTCAACTCTTAGATAGTTCTCCAGCAGTCAACTCTTAGATAGTTCTCCAGCAGTCAACTCTTAGATAGTTCTCCAGTAGTCAACTCTTAGATAGTTCTCCAGCAGTCAACTCTTAGATAGTTATCTAGCAGTCAACTCTTAGATAGTTATCTAGCAGTCAACTCTTAGATAGTTATCTTGCAGTCAACGCTTAGATAGTTCTCCAGCAGTCAACGCTTAGATAGTTATCCAGCATTCAACGCTTAGATAGTTCTCCAGCAGTCAACTCTTAGATAGTTCTCCAGCAGTCAACTCTTAGATAGTTCTCTAGCAGTCAACTCATAGATAGTTCTCTAGCAGTCAACTCTTAGATAGTTCTCTAGCAGTCAACTCTTAGATCCTGCCTACAGTATGTGCTTTGTGATTGTACATTTGCTATTTCATATTCATTGTATTCTCTTTTATGCTACTATTGTGTTGCATACATAACTGACTGTGTGTGTGTGGGTGTGTGTGTGTGTGTACAGGGGCTGTGTCTCAGGTTCTGGACAGCCTGGAGGAGATCCATGCGTTGACAGACTGCAGTGAGAAAGATATGGACTTCCTACACAGTGTCTTCCAGGACGAGCATCTACACACACTACTAGACGTGAGTAGACACACACACACACACACACACACACACACACACACACACACACACACACAGTATATGCATGCTACTTGAGTGGACTGCATACACCGATACACCCACACAACACACACCCAAACCTCCAAACGAGCTTCAATGCCATACAACACTCCTTCAGTAGCCTCCAACTGCTCTTAAACACTAGTAAAACTAAATGCATGCTCTTCAATCAAACGCTGCTGGCACCCGCCCACCCGACTAGAATCACTACTCTCGACGGGTCTGACCTAGAGTATGTGGACAACTACAAATACCTAGGTGTCTGGTTAGACTGTAAACTCTCCTTCCAGACTCGCATTAAGAATCTCCAATCCAAAGTTAAATCTAGAATCGGCTTCCTATTTCGCAACAAAGCCTCCTTCACTCATGCTGCCAAACATGCCCTCGTAAAACTGACTATCCTACTGATCCTTGACTTCAGCGATGTCATTTACAAAATAGCCTCCAACACTCTACTCAGCAAATTGGATGTAGTCTATCACAGTGCCATCCGTTTTGTCTCCAAAGCCCCATACACTACCCACCACTGTGACCTGTACGCTCTTGTTGGCTGGTCCTCACTACATGTTCGTCGTCAAACCCACTGGCTCCAGGCCATCTATAAATCACTGCTAGGCAAATCCCCGCCTTATCTTAGCTCATTGGTCACCATAGCAGCACCCACCCGTAGTCTGCGCTCCAGCAGGTATATCTCACTGGTCATCCCCAAAGCCAACACCTCCTTTGGCCGCCATTCCTTCCAGTTCTCTGCTGCCAATGACTGGAACTAATTGCAAAAATCTCTGAAGCTGGAGACTCTTATCTCCCTCACTAACTTTAAGCATCAGTTGTCAGAGCACCTTACCGATCACTGCACCTGTACACAGCCCATCTGAAATTAGCCCACCCAACTACCTCATCCCTATATTGTTATTTATTTTGCTCTTTTGCACCCCAGTATCTCTATTTGCACATAATCTCTTGCACATCTAGCATTCCAGTGTTAATACTAATTGTAATTATTTTGCACTATAGCCTATTTATTGCCTTACCTCCATAACTTGCTACATTTGCACACACTGTATATATATTTTATGTTGTATTTTTTGACTTTATGTTTTTTTACCCCATATGTAACTCTGTGTTGTTGTTTTTATCGCACTGCTTTGCTTTATCTTGGCCAGGTCGCAGTTGTAAATGAGAACTTGTTCTCAACTGGCTTACCTGGTTAAATAAAGGTGAAATAAAATAAAAATAAAACACCCCTACACAACTCACACAGAATGAGACAAACATACTAAGACAGAAATACTAGTCTGGCCACTAAAATCGAAGTCAGAAAGAAAGTCTCCCTTGCGAAAGAGAAAAAATAAATAGTGTTTTTTCTGTCATTAGATGCCTCTCCATCTGTCATTAGATGCCTCTCCATCTGTCATTAGATGCCTCTCCATCTGTCATTAGATGCCTCTCCATCTGTCATTAGATGCCTCTCTATCTGTCATTAGATGCCTCTCTATCTGTCATTAGATGCCTCTCCATCTGTCATTAGATGCCTCTCCATCTGTCATTAGATGCCTCTCCATCTGTCATTAGATGCCTCTCCATCTGTCATTAGATGGCCTCTCCATCTGTCATTAGATGCCTCTCCATCTGTCATTAGATGCCTCTCCATCTGTCATTAGATGCCTCTCCATCTGTCATTAGATGCCTCTCCATCTGTCATTAGATGCCTCTCCATCTGTCATTAGATGCCTCTCTCTGTCATTAGATGCCTCTCCATCTGTCATTAGATGCCTCTCCATCTGTCATTAGATGCCTCTCCATCTGTCATTAGATGCCTCTCCATCTGTCATTAGATGCCTCTCCATCTGTCATTAGATGCCTCTCCATCTGTCATTAGATGCCTCTCTATCTGTCATTAGATGCCTCTCTATCTGTCATTAGATGCCTCTCCATCTGTCATTAGATGCCTCTCCATCTGTCATTAGATGCCTCTCCATCTGTCATTAGATGCCTCTCCAATCTGTCATTAGATGCCTCTCCATCTGTCATTAGATGCCTCTCCATCTGTCATTAGATGCCTCTCCATCTGTCATTAGATGCCTCTCCATCTGTCATTAGATGCCTCTCCATCTGTCATATAGCCTATCCATCTGTCACTGTGCCTTCCATCTGTCATTAGATGCCTCTCCATCTGTCATTAGATGCCTCTCCATCTGTCATTAGATGCCTCTCCATCTGTCATTAGATGCCTCTCCATCTGTCATTAGATGCCTCTCCATCTGTCATTAGATGCCTCTCCATCTGTCATTAGATGCCTCTCCATCTGTCATTAGATGCCTCTCCATCTGTCATTAGATGCCTCTCCATCTGTCATTAGATGCCTCTCCATCTGTCATTAGATGCCTCTCCCATCTGTCATTAGATGCCTCTCCATCTGTCATTAGATGCCTCTCCATCTGTCATTAGATGCCTCTCATCTGTCATTAGATGCCTCTCATCTGTCATTAGATGCCTCTCCATCTTCATTAGATGCCTCTCCATCTGTCCATTAGATGCCTCTCCATCTGTCATTAGATGCCTCTTCCATCTGTCATTAGATGCCTCTCCATCTGTCATTAGATGCCTCTCCATCTGTCATTAGATGCCTCTCCATCTGTCATTAGATGCCTCTCCATCTGTCATTAGATGCTACTCTATCTGTCATTAGATGCCTCTCTATCTGTCATTAGATGCCTCTCCATCTGTCATTAGATGCTCTCTATCTGTCATTAGATGCCTCTCTATCTGTCATTAGATGCCTCTCAATCTGTCATTAGATGCCTCTCCATCTTGTCATTAGATGCCTCTCTATCTGTCATTAGATGCCTCTCCATCTGTCATTAGATGACCTCTCATCTGTCATTAGATGCCTCTCCATCTGTCATAGATGCCTCTCCATCTGTCATTAGATGCCTCTCCATCCCTGGTTCATTAGAGCCTCTCCATCTGTCATTAGATGCCTCTCATCTGTCATTAGAAGCCTCTCCATCTGTCATTAGATGCCTCTCCATCTGTCATTAGATGCCTCTCCATCTGTCATTAGATGCCTCTCATCTGTCAATTAGATGCCTCTCCATCTGTCATTAGATGCCTCTCCATCTGTCATTAGATGCCTCTCCATCTGTCATTAGATGCCTCTCCATCTGTCATTAGATGCCTCTCCATCTGTCATAGATGCCTCTCCATCTGTCATTAGATGCCTCTCTATCTGTCATTAGATGCCTCTCCATCTGTCATTAGATGCCTCTCCATCTGTCATTAGATGCCTCTCATCTGTCATTAGATGCCTCTCCCATCTGTCATTAGATGCCCTCATCGTCATAGATGCCTTCCATCTGTCATTAGATGCCTCTCCATCTGTCATTAGATGCCTCTCCATCGTCATTAGATGCCTCTCCATCTGTCACTAGATGCCTCTCCATCTGTCATTAGATGCCTCTCCATCTGTCATTAGATGCCTCTCCATCTGTCATTAGATGCCTCTCCATCTGTCATTAGATGCCTCTCCATCTGTCATTAGATGCCTCTCCATCTGTCATTAGATGCCTCTCTATCTGTCATTAGATGCCTCTCCATCTGTCATTAGATGCCCTCTCCATCTGTCATTAGATGCCTCTCATCTGTCATTAGATGCCCTCTCCATCTGTCATTAGATGCCTCTCTATCTGTCATTAGATACCTCTCTATCTGTCATTAGATGCCTCTCTATCTGTCATTAGATACCTCTCTATCTGTCATTAGATGCCTCTCTATCTGTCATTAGATGCCTATCCATCTGTCATTATATGCCTCTCTATCTGTCATTAGATGCCTCTCTATCTGTCATTAGATACCTCTCTATCTGTCATTAGATGCCTCTCTATCTGTCATTAGATGCCTCTCCATCTGTCATTAGATGCCTCTCTATCTGTCATTAGATACCTCTCTATCTGTCATTAGATGCCTCTCTATCTGTCATTAGATGCCTCTCTATCTGTCATTAGATGCCTCTCCATCTGTCATTAGATGCCTCTCCATCTGTCATTAGATGCCTCTCCATCTGTCATTAGATGCCTCTCCATCTGTCATTAGATGCCTCTCCATCTGTCATTAGATGCCTCTCCATCTGTCATTAGATGCCTCTCCATCTGTCATTAGATGCTACTCTATCTGTCATTAGATACCTCTCTATCTGTCATTAGATGCCTCTCTATCTGTCATTAGATGCCTCTCCATCTGTCATTAGATGCCTCTCTATCTGTCATTAGATACCTCTCTATCTGTCATTAGATGCCTCTCTATCTGTCATTAGATGCCTCTCCATCTGTCATTAGATGCCTCTCTATCTGTCATTAGATGCCTCTCCATCTGTCACTAGATGCCTCTCCATCTGTCATTAGATGCCTCTCTATCTGTCATTAGATACCTCTCTATCTGTCATTAGATGCCTCTCTATCTGTCATTAGATACCTCTCTATCTGTCATTAGATTCCTCTCTATCTGTCATTAGATTCCTCTCTATCTGTCATTAGATGCCTATCCATCTGTCATTAGATACCTCTCTATCTGTCATTAGATGCCTCTCTATCTGTCATTAGATGCCTCTCTATCTGTCATTAGATACCTCTCTATCTGTCATTAGATGCCTCTCTATCTGTCATTAGATACCTCTCTATCTGTCATTAGATACCTCTCTATATGCACCATGTGTGCTGTGACTGGATGAGTAGTCATGACCCTCCTCATACCTATACTGGCAGAGTGGAGTTGACCTGTAGGTCAGACACTCAGAGACTTTAACAGCTGACTCCAATGGCTCTGTCTGCCTCTGCCTCTGTCTGCCTCTGGCTCTGCCTCTGTCTGCCTCTGGCTCTGTCTGCCTCTGTCTGCTTCTGTCTCTGTCTGCCTCTGTCTGCTTCTGTCTCTGTCTGCCTCTTTCTGCCTCTGCCTCTGTCTGC